ACCACACATCTCTCTACCGTTTCTCTTTTCCAAATGCGGAGGCAAACGCGACTTTGGAAACTATGATTAGCACTAATAAACTTCCATATAGCCCTGTGATATTGATTGATCTTTCTGACCTTTCTGACTCCCGCCAAAATGGGAGCATCGCGGTTAACCCGTCGACTGGACGAGTAACTGGTAGTGGGACATTTAAACCTTCATTCGGTATTGGAACGTATGAACTGCATTTCTGTGCAGATTTTTTCGGCGCGAATATACGAGATACTGGTATTTTCCAAAACAACCGGGCGAGCAACGCATTCAAGCATCTCGAGACAGTGTATGATGGTATCAATACGAACCCACCAGTTCCTGGAGGAGCTTGGGTCCAATTTTATCCACCAGAGAAGGATCAAATTGTGGTTAGAGTTGGACTCTCATTCCTTGACACAGCAAAGGCATGCCGTAATGCCGAAAGTGAAATTGCTGACTTCGATTTCGAAGGGGTGTTCTCCGCGGCAACAGACGCGTGGAACCGAAAGCTAGATGTAGTGCAAATCGATAGCTCGGGCGTGAAAGACACTTTGCAAAGGGTCTTCTGGTCTGGCTTGTATCGTTCTATGATTTCGCCTCAGGACTATACTGGTGAGACACCGGACATTCTACCTTTCCAAGTATTCTTGAACTTACCCAGTCAGGCGAAAATCCCCTGTGGCAGAGTTCTGAGCCTTGTGAGTCCAGAATCTCCTTGACTGTGGTACAAAGTCTCTAATCATTAAAGACTACGATTCCTTCTACTGCATATGGGACTCATTTCGTAGTATCCACCCCCTAATCACACTCGTTGACCCAATCAGTCAAAGTCTCATGATTCGGACACTCATTGATATTTATCGACATGAAGAAAGGTTACCGGATTGCCGCATGAGCCTCTGCAAGGGTTTCACACAAGGAGGTAGCAATGCCGATGTCGTCTTAGCGGACGGCTTTCTGAAAGGGTTAACTGATGGTATTGATTGGGACACCGCATATGAAGCAGTCGTATCCGATGCTGAAGGTAATTGTCTTCTTGCCCTACCATAAGTAGACCGTGGTTGTGTTATTGACACTAATACTCAATCATAGACGAGCCACAAGTATGGTCTGTTGAAGGAAGAGGTGGCTTAACAAGCTGGAAAACCCTGGGATACATTCCCACAGACGACTTTGACCCGCTTGGAGTTGGCCCTTTCACGCGCTCTATATCGAGAACAGTTGAATATGCATACAATGACTATTGTATAGCGGAAATGGCCAGGGGACTGGGCCATATGTCTGATGCCGAGAAGTATGTAGGAAGTTCTGAGAATTGGGTCAACATGTTTAAAGCGGATCAAATATCAATTCTCAACCTATCGACAACTGAAAATGTCACAAATCTGGTAGACAGCGGGTTTACCGGCTTCCTTCAGCCACGATATTCGAATGGCACCTTTGGGTACCAAGATCCAAGCCTCTGCTCTCCGTTATATAATTTCACCTCTTGCTATCTGAAGTAAGTCCTATGCCTGAATTTCAAACTGCAGAATTATGTTAACAGATTATAGCGCCAACGGGCATGAGACGTACGAAGGTAGTTCATGGCTATATACGTTTTATGTTCCTCAGGATATGGCAACATTGATCATTACACTTGGTGGGCCAGAAGAGTTTGTGCGGCGATTGCAATACCTACACACCACGCCAAATCTGCTATACTTCGGCGATGAACAAGCATTTCTGCTAGTCTACTTATTCCACTATGCTGGGCGGCCTGGGCTATCATCATTCTTTGCACATTATTATATTCCTAGTCAATTTAACGATACACTCGTTGGTATACCCGGGAATGACGATAGTGGAGCGATGGGGAGTTTCAGTACTCTTGCTATGATGGGTATATGGCCAATGAGCGGTCAGAACGTATATCTGATCAATCCTCCGTTCTTCGCGGAGATCAACATCACGAATCAAATCACGGGTAACACGGCGACGATCAGAAACCTCAACTTTGACGCCGCGTATGAGAACATTTACATCCAGAGTGCTACTTTGGATGGATCGACTTACACTAAAAGCTGGATTACGCATAATTTCTTTGCCGAAGGTGGTGTCTTGGAGTTGACCCTCGGAAACAGTGAGAGTAACTGGGGAACACGGGACGAGGATCTGCCTCCTAGCTCATCAAAATCCAAACTGTGAACCCAAATTAAATAGTCCGAGAAACTTTTAAGAGTTACTATGCCCCATCAGCTTTGTGGACAGTTTTGCAATAGCCAAGGTCAATCATAGGGACTTCTAGACTTATAAGCCGACAGACGCTGGGAATTTCTTCACTGGCAATAGAGTCAGCCTATTAGATTAAAGATAATCATCTTAGGCGGACGGCCTGGCCCCATGATTGATCCCCCCCTTTTTCAAGCATGACATGATGCCAGATTCATCTGAGTTACCATAATCATCGAACGAACAATCGGCATATAAGTATTGGTAAAGATGGCAGGGTATTCCTTCTCGGTCAAAATAGACAAAGTGGAGAACTCGGAGGATAATTCATGAGAGTTAGTGGTCATATGAGGCGTTGGAGCCAGATCACTAGACTCGTCGGCGTTATGCTTGACCGCCTATTCTTTACATGCCATCTCATGGTCCTCGACTATACCCTGCCTGGCCTCTTAGTAACGCACGCGGCTCTGCTCATTTTGATCAATATCTTCATCACTGGGGTTGGGTTAAACGCCGTCGACTTCAAGGACAGACACTTTCTGTTTCGCTTGAACTGATTGACAGATTCTTCGGTCTAGTGGCTTACCCAAGGCCTCTGTTGGTAGTGGTGTCTATCGCCGTTATATTTGCATTTCACTTCGTAAAGATCCTTGTTCTTATTGCCGTGAAATCATCCTCTCAAGCATCGCACTCTCGTTTCGAGCTGTGGACAAGTTCATATTGGTCATAGTTTGCACACCTCTGTCACGCTTTTAAAGAGTATGAAAAAAGACCAATTTTGACAATGACAAAGTATTGACATATGTAGGTAGCTTGTCTATGCTGAAGGCTATCGTGTATCAAATAAGCAGTCTATACATGAAGTATCTTGAACTCAGTGTGCTGAATTAACAGCGTCTTCAAAGCTCATCCTTTGCTGCGCTCTCTTGCTTCGGATCTTCTGACGCTCTCGTATCTTTGCCTATATTTTCTTTCAGTCTCAGCACCTGGGCCTCGATTGTAAAGTTGATGTCTCTCTTGTCGAGCATTCTATCTAAACTGGTATGACTTGTTGGCCATGCAATGACTCCTCCATCTTGAGGCTTTGAGTTGTATTTTGTTAGATCGAGGAGGGTAGCTATTATCATATGTGAGCCACACTTTTCTTTATTCTTAGCAGTGAACTCCGATAGAGCGACGTTACCTTTGCAATCACTGTTCTCAGCGACCCAGAGTGGCAGCGTTTCATAAATTGCACCGGGTGCAAAGATTGCGATCTTCTTCGTATCGAGTAGCCTTAAATCGTCTGTTGTATTCTTTTTGGGTACCTTGGCTGGTCCAGTGGCCGCCTCTCCCTGGGGAGGCTTTTCGTATACCGCGTATAACCCCTTCCCTGCCCCGTCGGTCCTCTCTTGTTCTTCGATCCATTCCCGAACTTTGACAGGAATATGTGAATATGTCATCTGAAGCAAGGTACGCTCATAACCGTGATTATCTATGCCATCCCAGCCTCCAGGATATTCACGACCTTGAAAGAACGTTTTCAGGGCATCGGCATAGGGCCATAACCCGACAGGCTCGCCTTTGAACAGGTCGTGGAGTTGGTATTCAGAGGCCGAGAATTTACCCTCAACCGCGCAGGTGATGTCAAATTGGTCCAACTTCTTAGATGAGAATGGGTCCGCCCAAGTAAAACCCTCCGTTGCCGTAGGGTCAACCTTCGGTGGTGGTTCGGGGCCCAGAGCACTTGCCCATGATGTGAGGAGAGCAGACGCAAGCGCAGTCGAAAGCAGCTTCATTTTGAAAATAAAAAAGGAAACGGTAACACATGCAAGCAACTTCAACGGACCAAGAAAGATGAAGGAGGTGAATTGTCACAAAAGAGTGATTATTCCTGATTGAGGAGTTTTGGTCAGGAAGGGAAACAGGCGGTGGTCACGTCTTAGACTATATAAAATAATGAGCATTGCTTGCTTTGGAGCTTGGAGTAGTCTTGCTGTCCTCATCGGAAGATGCCTCCGCATTTCCACATCGAGAAGCTTCAGAATGACTGAAGTTGGAGAATTGGGGTTAGAGGTACGCGGAATTGGGGGCGCCTCGCCTAATCTCGGAGCCTACCAGATCGCTCTATGGAGTTAGTAGGACCCACAGACTCTAGTTCTGGACGGGTTGTGTGGTGAAAGCCCCGTTGCTTGCATCATATTTCAGGGGGCAGTGGCAGTCTACATCTATGGTGATGGTGTCTCCAACAATAGAAATGCCACACATATCTAACCAGCGATCGGAATGCAGCCGAGACACCTGATCACATGCAATCTCTAGTAAGTAGAATTTTTAATTTCTTGCTCATTTCATAGCTTTCATCTCTGTGTGTTACGGCGAATGTGGTACAGGAAGACAACAGAATATTGAACCCGCTGCTGCAACTATCTTCGAAAGGGAAACTATCCAGTATCAATTTCCAATTTCAACAAAAACCGTAAGGCGACTTCTTCGCGCATTCTTGCCAGTGAAGCTGGTCCGTCTTTCAAATTGATGACACTTGTTCTGAAGGTCGCGTTGCGGATCGCAAAATGGGCTGTTCGATGGCTTTGCCAAGGAGCGTCTTGATGTGAATTTGCTGCGGAGTTCGACCTTTCACGGGTAGCGCAATCTTCAAGAAACCGATCCATACCAGCAACGGCCAAACCAAACTGTGTGGAAGGAATGCACAACAAAACCCTGAAACAGAAGCAAGGATCGCATAAGAAAAACACCAGTCCCGAGACCTAGCTAGACGAGGTTTAACACAATCTCTATCTAGAAGTTGGAACAATCCCGAGTAGCCTCATGGCATTTTCCAACACTTGTCGTGCCGCTTCTAGAAGCATGACTTGACCAACAGTCAAATCAGCACCTTCGGGGATCTCCTCGAAACAGCCAGACAATTGGCCGGTTACGCTAGTAAGATATGCCATCACAGTTGCCGATTCCAACGCCTTGAACTCTTGAGCCGTGACATCTGGATATTGAGCTAGAAGGCGAAGGAGGTCGACAAATGCTTCACCTGTGATTGATTCCAGCTCATCATCAGTCAAGGCGCTCGCGTCACTAGACTTATCAGCAAGAAGCGACGTGAGTCTCGCATAGCAATACTGGAGCTCAGGGCCAGTGCCAAGTTCAAACGATGTCATTCGAGCAATGTCAAATGCATGATCTGCAGCCCGGCGTGCAGAAAGTTCCTGGACGAGAAGAGCGCTGATACCCAGAGATGCGGCGACGTCTTCTGAGTCCCCGAGAAGAGCAGATTGGTCTGGATTCTCCCTCAAAGACTCAAGCATTGAACTCTGGCATTGGCTCAAGATGTCACCCAACATAGAACCTTGGTCAACCATTGGCGAGACTTTGCTGAAATGCACGTGTTGTAGTCTCTCTGCCAAATGAGACATATCCATAAGATCCAGTATTTTCAAGACGCGTTGAAAGTGTAGATCGTGATCTACAGAGACGACGTAGATCATCTTGTCGAAAGAGTATTTGCGGAAACGCTCGAGAACGGTTGCTAGGTCGCGCAGAAGATAAGTGCTGCTTCCTGTGCGATCACGAATGATGGCTGCACCTCCTTTACCTCCGTGCTTCTTCAGTTCGATCATCCACGCACCATCTTTCTCCTCACTCAGTCCCTTGCTCTTTAGGATTTCTTCCACTTCTGTCATTGTCTCTGGCGATACTTGAGACTCGCCGGAGTATTCATCAAAAGTGACATTCAGACGCGCATAAAGTTCTTTGTAGTGGTCCACATACACGTCACGGAAGCGCTTCGAGAGGCCGACGGCAACCTCGTCACCGTCCTCCATCTTTTTGAAGAAGTCGTTTCTCTTGGCGTAATAGCCTTTCGACTCAATCTCGACTGTATCCTCATGCGCATCCCTAGCTTTTTTGCTTGACGCCTGTTCGGGGATGAAAATTTCGTTCGCTTGGTTGTACACGCTGACAAGATGCCCGATCGGGTCAGCCGCGAATTGCTCTTCAGAACCAAAATCCTCCCATCCAGCTCCAAGCAAACCGATGTTCTTTCCCCAGTCACCTAGGTAATTGACTCGTGTCACATCCCATCCCATGCTCTCATACAACAGACCAATATGGGCACCGATAATTGTGCTGCGTAGATGCTTTCCCTGAAACTCGCTCGCAATGTTTGGGGAAGAGAATTCGATCAACAACTTCTTCTTCTCTGCCTCGTCTAGCTCGGAGCCTTCAGTGAAGACATGGCTCCCATACAAGGCTTTCCGATCATGTATGTAAGGAAGAAGTAAGCGCGCAAGGCTGCGTGGTTCAAACATGATTCTTAGATGTACTCCTTCAGCAAAGGGCAAAATGAAGAGAGGGCACTTAGGGAACTTCGAGAAACACAGTTAGCAACACGCGAAGGTACATCCAGGTTGGGTATGCGATGGGACGTACCCTCTGAATGAGGTCTAGGGCGAGCGCATCGGTGTCAGCTCCATGGCTCAGTCGCGGCAAGATAACCACCAAATCTCCATTAAAGATATTATTGGGCCACTGGATCGAATTGTATGCGACGGAGAGTTCAACATCTGCGAGGCTATGCAAGATGTCTGCAAGGTAGGATCGAGCGACATCGAGAGGCTTCTCGAGCACATTGGACGAGGGGTAGTGATGCAAAGGGCCATCCAGCCCCAAACTTTGCAATGCCTCTTCAAGTCCAGTTGCATTCGTTGTCACAACGGCCATATTGGATGTCACAGTTGAAAACGCTTGAGCAAGAAGGGCTTGATGCACCCAAGAGTTGGAGGTCCGGCGTGACTCTGAGGAAGCTTAAAAGTCAAGCGCATCGAGTTGCCTCATGTAACTACCTGTTTCTCTGATGAATGCGGCTCATCGTCGCACTGTCCTTTGTTGACGTGGGAAGATGGTATTGGCCAGAGTAGTTCATGAAGATTGTCCCTACTTTGTTAGGCAGGAATTGGGTGGAAGTGATGGGTGAGAGGCGTTTGGGCACCCAATCAGCATTGATGACTCCTGCAACAAAATGCCTGACCGAAGAGGTTGTTCTACGAGAAACAATCCGCAATTCGTCAAATTGGACTTAACAATCATACTGATCAATGGCGATCGCAAAGAGTGGGAACAACGCGCGCGCGAGGTGTAAAGATGTCATAAAATATTGATTGGGTGGCTGTCAGCAAATTGAAGCATCTACATGTATCTCCTGTAGTTCAAGGGTTGCTGGCGACATTGCATCGCTCTGATACTCACCGCCTTGATTTACCGTTGCGTTATCTCCTGGCCTCTTCTGAAAAGAAAATAGACCAAGCAATAATCGAAGTAGCCGGGGAATGATATTTTCCAGGGTTGTTATAACTAGTGCTCTTTGATGTGATCCAACCTTTGCTCGCCATCGTGGAAGTGTTATAATTAGGTGATGGGTCGTGTATCGAAAAATTCCGACAGCAGCTATGAGCACTAAAACGCACATTATGAAAGATTTAGTGTTGAGAGCAAACCATAAAACATTATCTTGCATGCTGAACATGCCAGCCGCAAGAGCGACAGGATATAGGATCTATCTGAACGTTAGTAGTCAAATACCATAACACAATAGCCATAATTGCTTTACCATGACTGTAAAATCGGTAGTGAGTCCATTGTGCGCAGCAGCTTCATTGTATTCTCGGAAGATGCATATTTCAAGCTTCACTCTGTTGTTAAGCTCAAGCCACCTCTAGTGCGATATACTGAGTAGACTTACATCCTTTTTGTGATCACAGCAACGTTTCATCAGACGTATCAATTTCTCTTCACAATCTCTCAAGTCTTCAAAAGCCGTTTCAGCACCATGCAATGAAAGATACGCTCGATCAGCACCATCTTGAATGTGATGGAAATAATCGTAATCTCGCTGGCGAAATTTTTCATAGGATTTCATTGTCTCTGACAATTTCTCTAAGAGGTCATTCAACAATTGCGTTGTTGACCTTGTCCAATTCTCAGATTCTTTAATCAGTCGCGCTCGCTCGGTGCCAGCACCAAGTCGCATCGGCATAGCAAGATGATCTTCATTGCCCTTGAAAATGTCAGAAAGTCGGTCTACTTTCTTCAATGTGATGAGACTCAAGATAGTTATGGGATAGTCAAGTGACTACTTCTGACTTACATACTGACAGATTCTATTTGCGACCTCTTCTACAACTCGTTCCCACTCCTTACAGATCTCAGATGTCCGAGTTTCCAGGACCCGTAGGAAATAACTACGAGGATCTCTTATTGGGGCGTCTGCAAGCACTGGATCTCCAGAAGATGCGATCGGATCAATTGCTGGTTCGTCATTACTGAGATCTTGCCCAGATAAGATGTCATTTTCCGGTCTGGTGTCAAAACAATATCCGATCCAGTTTCGGTCGTCCCTTCCACTTAACACGAGGGAGAATTGAGCTGGATGAATGCCATAGAACTCTGATGGTTTTGAATTTTCATCCGTTAAATTCAGAAACGAAATGTCTTTCCACCGTCCTGAATGGTCGTGTGCGCATGTTTGGTAAACCTCGGCTGAAGTGTGTTTTCGGAGCACAAAAAACGGCAGGTGCATCTCCATCTGGAATGTCTTGTATCCACTAGACTACTCTCATCAGTTGGAAAGTTTAATATAAGGGAGCAATTGTGCATTATACCATGATTTTGATCTTGAGAGAAGATTGGCGAGGAATGTGATTTCGGAGGGCATCACGTAAAGGATGGATTTCCGTGTGGCGGGCAGTTTCTGTGAGAGCAAGGATGTATAGAGGATCTAGATTAGATATGTAGCTTATGGAAATGACGTTAGTGTTGTGCATTTTAGTTGTGGACGGAATTATCTCGAACATAAGTCTTCTCTCGACATCAGGCTCATTCTCGTAATCACTCATCTAGAACTCTGCTCAGTCATGATTGGTACCCTGATCCTGGTTATACTTACAGGTTTTGATAACTCTTGATATAGTTCGCTCGCGGTCAAGGTATGCTTATACAGTCTTCTTTCGTTGGGATGGCCATCGATGTCCAAAGCTCTGGGCGTGTCATCGAGCCAGGCAGCCTGTCGCTGATCCGTTGTGTTCCCTCCTTTCAAGAGATCATCAAGACAAACTCCACGACAGAATGTCCTCACAGCCTCGACTCCACGATCAGGTATCGCTTCTTCAGAATCACGCAATATGAAATCCACATCCCATTCGGCATCTGCATTCAACTCCCTTTTGACCCCTGCCCAAACCCTGTCTTGCTCCGTAAAACGACGCGTCTGCTTGAATTCGTCCGGCCACCGTGCACTGAACATTGTGAATCGAGATGTGACGGGCACGGCAAAAAGATATAGAGCTTAGCCTCGTAGTGTTCGAAATTTACTTGTTCTTTTGTTGACACTGCCATGTGTGGTCTGTTTGATCGATTCAAACACGCTGAATTTCCTAAATTAGATATAGGGCTAATGACATTGTAATGATTATACACAAAGACTCTCCCCGCCCACGACTCGTATTGCCCAAATAAAGCCAAAAATGGTGCCTTAAGAAGGCTGAATACAAAATTAAACGGCGAGGATACTGTCCGATCTTCGATTCGCTCCATGTCCGGTGGCCAGCACACCCGTTCCATCCCATCCTCAACCTTGCCTATCTTTAACCAAGCCAGGCTTCCAGAGCCGTACCACTGAACCGCTCTCTCATTTTCTAGAATTTCATGACTGGGTACTCCTAGCGTACCTGCACCTTCGTTGTCCGGCAATAGGCGCACCTGAAATGATCACACTCGGGACATACGTTTACGCGGATATTGATTGCTGAGTGTCCGCAGGTACACTTGAGCTGGGCGTCAGATCTACTTTTGCAGCAAATGATCTAGATAAGGCATTAAGCCACTCACACACGCCCAGATATACACATGTTTTTTCTTTCCGGGGGGCTTAGAGTGATTGTGTCGTCAATGATGCGAAAAGTTTTAGCCGGTGAAGGCGAGTTCTGCTTACCCGTTCAAAGATTGGTGGTATTTCAGGTAACGCAAAGACCTGAGACGCATTGATACCTGATAGTGAAAGCAATCGTGGCAGTTCTTCTTCCTCACTGCCCACTTGGCTTTCCGAGGCGACCATTCCTGTGAGGCATTCGTTTATAACTTTTGGTCTAGGACAGTCACAGGAGCATCCATTGTCATACCAACAGCTGTGTGGACAGCGAATCCCATCCTTTAAAAACAAACTAACTCAAGGCCGCTGAGGCCGACCTGGTTGAAGGTCAGAGTATGGCAGGGATTGTAGCGCTTCGAATAGTAGTCCAGGAGGTACCTTGTGGATGAACGGGATACACTATGCAGGTGCTAATGCAGCACACGTTTGCGGCTTGTTAATTACATTGTATAACATCCTGATTCAGTTGCACGCTACAACGAAGAAAGTATTTCTCTTTCATACGGGAGGGATGATATATTGGCATTCTCAAAGTTTCCTGCAATGACACTGTCAGATCTCGAGCTTACAATTGGCTTTAGAAGCAATCATGTGATACCCACAGCGGATGTTTTGCAGTTTTTGTCGTGCAGCCATGATGCGGGGGCGTTAAAGTCCCATGAGAGGTGGTATCGAAACCAAACTATTGGCAAATCATCTTATGGCAACATCATACCTGCCCAACCGTTTCTAGCGTCATTTCTGACGTGTCATGATTGCAAATCTGGTCGATCGTCAAACCAAAGTTTGGTGGGTGAGGACTCACAGATCGCTAAAAACGCCAACGTTCTCACCGGCCTCCCGTGACCCTAATGCAAGGAAGCCTGGCTGTGAAACTAAATCTACGGCCCAACGCAGACAGCGGCCGTTAGTAAAAGTCTATAACCGCCAACAATCACGGAATTGCTAACCAAAGCAGGGATATCCGCGCGATATCCTCTACTTCTGACCTGGGTGATCCATTGATCAACAAGTGAATGTACCCGACTGTCCTTGGAAAGAACGGCAACGCCGACGTGGCTTATCATCTGAGGTTAGCAATTTGGTGTATTATTTGCCAAGTCTCCACTATTGAGGCAATAGAAACCAGTAAAATAACGTTTAATTCTCTCATGTACGAAGACTGCATGTTGTCAATTCCTTCGCGCGCGGTAACAGTCTAAAAACTTTGTTGGGCGTAGGGGCTGCAGCTTGCCTGCCCTAAGAGCTGAAAGACAGTCCTCGCAAAAGAGCCGCCCAATTTTTGGTGGAAGAAAAAGCCATCTACCTCATGATAACATTCCTTTTCTTGAGCCACTGTCTCACTTATTCGATGAACCGGTGGAGGTTGTGTAACAGCAACAAGTCTGTGAGAGTCTCACCGCATATTTTTCCGATGCACTGTCTAGTTTTGGCTTGAAACATACATTTCTGGGCGACTTCCGGGGGTTTTGTCCGAACATCGGATTCAAGAGAGTATTTACAGGTGTATGAGCAGCGAGAACCGGTCAATGACTGCATGACAGGGTTGCCAGAAAGCGCCGACTTGAGGATCCAGGGTCTCGGCACCACGACATGCATTGGACCCACCGAGCCCTGAGATCATTTGACACTGGGAAGAGTACACAAGTACTAGTTGTGAGGGGATACTGCCAAGCGTGAGACAGCATTCAACACCAGGGTCCTAGCTTTGACAAATAAAATTACAAGTCGAGCGGTGAAAGAGTTGGTGCTTATTTTCGAAAAGTTCGGCATCGGGGATGACCATCTAGTCTATCCATGATTAGAGCCATATGCCCTAAATAAACCCTAGCAGTGGTTGATGAGTAATTCTGAGCTGTACCGCATACATACAGGTTAGGAAATATACAGGTTGCCACCTGGTATGTGGCAGGCCGGTTCATGAAAATAAGGGAACCCTAGGAGGAGGACAGTATATTGTTGTGCACCTAGCTTCTGAATCGTCTAAAATGTTTGATCATGGCCGATTTGATTAACATGGGTATTGTTATACTCTAGCGCGCGCGAATCGCCACTATGGGGAGGGACGCACCGCGAATCTTGTTCGGCGGTTATCAGATGTTTGAAGGTAACAGAAACAAATCATGATCTCGTATTAGGACATAGTGCACAAAATAGTTCTGATTGAGTCGTGTGATATGTACAACTAAGAATTAGCAAAGGTGGCCGACTGGAACTTGATTAGCGATTAGTCTTAACCAGACAATTAGGACTTGCAAAGATTGATAGATGCTGTTGGATAATTGGAATTAGACAGCTTTTTATGATGGGTCTAGCATTGTGATGATAAATAAGTCTTATTTAAAAATTTACATTGTAATGGAAAGACTTGCTAATCTTGATTGTAGGAAGCAACACTTCATAATCCAAGTCGTCATTCACCGCTGATACTGTTTAGAGAATGTTTAATTAACTTTAAATCTAGCTGACTCTCAACACGATCGATAGAGTGGAAAGTGCTTATAAAAAGGCCTCATTGTACGTTTCGATTAGTTAGCAAATAGACTACGATGAAGAGTCAATGATCATAGACCAAGACTGCACTATCGTTATGGGGGAATTGGTCGCTCGTACCGCAGATTGTGTACCAATATCAGCTATTAAATACAATGTAATACACCCTGGAAAGCATTGTTTGGAGAAAAGTCTGTGACTCGAGAATGGCTGCCCTAGCTTACATTTTGACGGGAACCCGAAGGCAGTTATTGGAAAAAAGAGTGGTCAAACACTCTTGCAGCGAAGACAATACAGCTGCCTCTTCAGGCTGCTGACATGCTACATTAATGGAAGGCGCGGGACTTTTCCGGGTAAGAGGGTGGTGCGAAAGGATCATGCTTAGCACAACCGAACGCTATGATCCCGTTACCAGACCACATCCCCGGCTGTCATCAATACGCAATGCTACTTCATTATTCCTATGCAGCAATGTGGCACTGTCGAGCCATTTGCGAGCATTGACGCCTAAGGGCTCCGATTTCTCCAAAAGGTCAATAATCAATGATAGCTCAGCTCTATTTGAGGGACAATGTCTCGAGAGATATGAAAAGCTATGACATTAAGCCTCAAGTACATCTTTCCAAAGCTTATAGTTATGGCCGCCACCCTGCTATTAACTCCCACGCTGCAAGAATACGGGAGCTTGGCAAACAACCTGTCAACCCTGCAGGGTGGAGGTCCCACCTCGTTTACAAGAGAAGAAGGTCCTGCGTACGGAACCCTGGATTCAAGTCACGAGCGGTAAGATGCGTGTCGACCATAGCTGCTCGGCAGCGGTTCACCGAACTATCATCCATGTAAAGATCAGGCACATCAGAGCTATCGTTAGACCAGTTTAGCTGGTGCCTGGCAAATGACACCTACTTTTCTTTTCGCGCTTGTCACTGCCATGTCCAAAGAAGGCTTGTCGCGAATATGCCCATGTCCTATTAACAAGCACTGCCGATTTCTGTGTGAAGGATTACTTGCGCCTGAGCAGGCTATATTCGGCAGGTGATTGATATACGATTTGAGTACGCCGGCAACAATGTGCTCTTTACGAAGGCATTGGATTTTCGAGCTCTAACATCAAGAAGGTCTTCGGGGACTTGGCATTCAGAAGTTTGGTACACGCTACGTAGGCTCTAGGGTCTATGAATCGCGACGTACACCCGGCTCATGAGTTGCCTATTCAGGGCGGTCTTGACAACAATGGTGAAGGGATGTTCCTGAGGATATCGTAACATTCATGCGATATAAAAGCTAAGAGAATGTCATTGTGAAACAAGATGAAAGCTTATCTCTGCCTAACCTCTCGAGCTTATTAGCAATTGCATTAAGATGCGAGGCGTCAATATACTTCTTGCTTTGTCTGCGATTGGGGGCAGTGCTGCTCTTGAACGTCGCGGGAAGCTTACAGCAGCCACTGATGCCAACAGTACTCTTCCTTTAGCTAAACGGTACATCATCGAGTTCGAGCCAGTATGGATCACTTGTATCAATGCTCAAAGGAGATGACTAATGTCTTGAGTAGGGCTCCAATCATGCTGACCTCAAAACTGAAATCGCTTCTCGACCTGGTGCCAAGATTCTTAAAGAGTTCAACAGCAACGTCTTCTCGGGACTTAGTGTTGAGACCACAGCAGATAATATCGACTCTCTCCAAGCAATAAAGTCTGTCTCCAAGGCTTGGAGCTCGAACAAACTTAAGCTTGGTCCCCATCTCCCAACTGCATCATTTAGTGATGATGCATCCGCACCTGAATACTCGGTGCATTATGCTACGGGAGTTGATAAACTGCACGATGCTGGTATATATGGCAAGGGGGCTGTTGTGGCTATCATTGACACTGGTACTCAATATACTCACCCTGCTGTAAGTAGAAAATGTCTCCTTCTAACATTATATTACTAATGTCGTTTAGCTAGGAGGTGGCTTTGGGCCAGGGTACAAAGTTGCCGGCGGATACGACTTCGTTGGTCAAGGGTGTAAGTGCACACTTTTATCTCAAAGACAGCAAGACTGAAATATGTAGGTTGGCCCTATGATGGATGCGAAAAGGAGCCTGATGATGATCCAATGGATCAGATTGGTCATGGCACGCATGTTGCAGGCATTGTAGCCGGGAAGAGTGATACCGGTTTCGTAGGCGTTGCTCCCGACGCCACCATCCTGTCCTATAAAGTCTTTACTAGCATCGTGAGCTACAAGTTCTCCCCAATATCTTGGGATCGAGTCTAAAATTATGGCAGGACGGAACAGACGAGGATACACTTATTGAGTCATTCTTAACCGCATATGATGCAGGGGTAAATGTTGCTGAGTCCAACAGCTGTAATACGCACAGCTAATGAGGTCCAGGCTGATATTATCACTTCGTCAATCGGGGGAGCTGGGGGCTTTGCTGATGATGCATGGGCTACCGTAGCATCTCGTTTAGTAGATGAAGGCGTGGTTGTTACCATTGCCGCAGGTAATAATGGCGAGGAGGGCCCATTCTTCGGCAGCAACGGAGCTGCAGGGAAGAACGTGCTCGCAGTTGCCTCTACAGAAGCCTCAATTCTCGCCGCACCCCCCTTCCTGGCTACGTTTAACCTGGATGGAGAGACGAACACAACGAAGGTTGCTTATTTGTATGGCTATTACAGCTTCCCAACCGACCTGGTGGGCCTGCCCATTGTTCCGCTTTCAGGAGACATGACCGTCCCGGATGAGGCTTGCGATACCCTCCCCGAGACGACAGGCAATTTATCATCTGTTATTTCACTTGTCCGGCTAGGTGGATGCGGTCCTTGGACAAAGGCTTACAGACTCGAAGAGTATGGAGCACGCTATATCCTGTTTTACAATGATGATGAGCCGATTCAACCTCCATACACATTCAGCAACAGCATTACAGGCACTATCGAAGCTAGAGCAGGGGCCGCTATTATTGAGACGGTCAAGGCCGGTGGTAATGTCACAGCTGATTTCTCCTTGGACCCTGAAACAAATTATGTCGGCATGTATAACTCTGCGGGAGGAGTTCCGAATTACTTCACAAGCTGGGGTGGTTTGTATGATCTTTCCCTGAAGCCCGAAATCGCCGCCCCTGGAGGAGATATTTTTAGCACATATCCCGACAACACCTATGCTGTCCTCAGCGGTACTTCAATGGCAACTCCGTATGTTGCTGGGGTAGCTGCTCTGTATATCGGAAAGTACGGCGGACGAAAGTCTAATCCTAACTTCAATGCAAAGAAGTTGGCAATGCGTATTATCTCCAGTGGAGGTTCCGTTCCATGGTCTGATGGGTCTACCACAACGGACTACGGCTTCTGGGCACCTGTCCCTCAAGTCGGAACAGGGATGGTTAACGGCCTTAAAGTCCTCAACTATACCACTTCGCTGTCCTATGCCAAGTTCGAGCTCAATGATACACACCACTTCAGTCGGTATCACAGCGTGGATATCACCAACAACGGGCAAAGCTCTGTCACTTATCGCTTCGCTCTACAGGACGGGGCCGGCGTAGAGATGTGGCAATCGGACCCTGACGCCTGGTCGTCCCCTCGAATCAAGTATTTTGAAGAACTTACTCCGGTGAAGATGACGCCGCAGGTATCATTTCCCTCCGCATTTACCTTGAAGGCTGGCGAGACCAAGACTGCCAAGTATGACTTTGCATCATAATGCTAGGGGACGTAGCTAATGGCCCAACCAGGTTCGGCTTCAATTATCCTACCGGTCTCAAAAATCTCCCATTGTACAGTGGCAAGATTCTCATCAGCTCCAGCGAGGGCGAGCAGCTCTCAGTCCCCTACTATGGTTCGCTTTTGATGCCTTTTGAACGATCATTTGTGCTTACGAATCATCTAGGACTCGCCTCGGATCTGAAGCAAGATCTGAAGCAACAGTTTCCGGAAGGTTACCCGGCGTCGATGTCTACACGGGATTACATTCCCATTGATCAGAAGTCCAAGTATGCCCTCCCGTCTAAGTGTCATTGATGTAACCTAAGTTGAACGTAGTTATACTTTCAACCTCGCTGCCGACGTAAATGATTTCCCTATTGTGTATGCTAGGACGCACTGGGGTATTGGTGAGCTCCGCTGGGATGTAAGCGCTCTGCCGAACCTCCACCCTCCGAACGCCCTCTGATACTTCTTAGATCTTTGACTCAACCTGGACCGAACGTAAATGGGTATATCCGCCGGTCCCAGGCCAGAACGGTTACGTTGGCACTGTGGCGTACTGGGCCGACTCTGGCTACTACTATTACTTTGATCCTGCCAACAATGACGCCAATAATACGATCTCGTTCCCGCTCAAGGACATCTACAGGAGCTCTGTTGATGTCGGTGATCAGGAGTACTGGTGGCTCGGGAGGCTGGGCGATGGCACTCAGATCAAGCCTGGTAAATATGTGTGAGTATCTCGTTGGGCGCCTAGATGCAGAAGTAGAGCTAATCATGTTATAGGATGCGCTTTGCCGTCCTTGCACCCTTTGGAGACCCGACACATGCCGACAACTGGGACACTTTCACGAAGCCTTTCACGGTTCTCCCACTTGCCTAATGTATTCGAGACGACATTCTTTTTCTCCATGCTCCTTTTTCGGTCCGACGGTTTAATACTGGGAAGTTCGGATATAAACTGACCAGCGGCGTTCGTGTTTTTCTGCCAGTGGATATTTTGAAGACGAGGAGATCGCTGTCGTGAGATTTGAAGCAACGAGTGAACTTTGTGATGAGTTTAATTGTAACTAGAGTGATAAAGTTGTCCTGATCAAGCCTAGATCATTATATCTCTACCATCTAAACAATTCCCTGTCTTGTGGGTTTCGCAGGCTGTTGCCTCTCTTCCTCACTTAGTGTCATCCGAGAATTGCAACTAACGTGAGAGACTGGCCGTCGAAGTCAAAAGAGGATCGGCTAGGAGCAATGACAAAAGCTGAGGGGTGGCAGAAGATTCGGCAATGGGTACGAAAGGGCTGAGACAATAGGAACAAGGACCGAGTTCAGTTTGATGATGAAATCTGTCTAATATCTAGACGACGCCACAAATGGGGCTCGGTGCATTTGAGGTGTGTTTTCGAGTCTACACTATCATATACCGCCCCCCACCACCCTGCAATTTCTTGTCGCCGACCGCAGGTTCCGGGCAGTTTTCGTTGCCAAAGCAGTGCGCTGACATCCCCTTTCCGCCGTAGGCTCGGAGGTGCTGGGAATCCGAAGCACCTGGGCGCTGGAACCGCTAATGGGCATAGTCATCGAGTGTGCCAGCCTAGCGAGATGGCGGCATCCCAGACTGGATTTCCTGTAGGTGATTGGTGTAGAGATACTCAGCCCTAACCGTCATTTAACAGAGTCGTCCACTTAACCATGTGCATGCGGAAGGATTGCTCAGCTAAGTCAACCATGAATCCTTCGTGGCGGCTTTATTTACGCGCTGCCTCGCTCGCTTTACCTCGGACTATGGCTCGTCAACGTTTGATCAATTGGGGATAGCTTGTGTCATCGTTGATTGACTCCTCTTCATACACTGTACTGCTTGATCGTTCGACTCTGACCATCAATAAATGCAATCCTTTCGAAAAGTTGATCTATTCATTGCCTATGCTTTGTGTTTGACCTCGTCTAGACCATGGAGATAGGGTACGGCTTGACAGGCTGGCGATCAAAGCTGTGTCTTGCAATTCTGCTGTTCATCCACGCGTTTGGCGCGACCGCTGAAGATGACCATGGGGTCACTTTCCTGTTTCCGAACACCACGACGCAGTCCGACCTGACTTTGTATTACATGGACACGGTCAATGTGTCCTACATATCGCCGTTTCCCTCCCCGAACCTGTACACATTCTGCAACAGCGGTAAAACGTTCAGTAAGTTAAGTTGACACTTCACATAACACGGACGGCCAGCTGACGTTTTGCGTGTCCAGTCCGCGTACAGGATGCTGCGCCTTTCAACGGATCGACGTTCGTGTTGCTGAACTTTACAAGCACCACGCCCTGTTACTTCAACTTGCGTCCCGGCACCGAGGCAGGGCACGGTCGCAACAGCGACAAGTTCACGCTCTCACCGAATCAGCGAAGTCAAACAACCGTCGGCCTACCGCAGTCTTCCGCCACGTCAACATCCACGGTCTCCACGACTTCTGCTACATCATCAGCATCTGGGAGTGTGACGAGCACGCCTAGCTCCGTACCAAACTCCTCGGGTAGCTCTGGCCTCAGTGCTGGCGCGAAGGCTGGCATCGGCATCGGCGTTGCGTTAGGCGTCATCGCACTTGCCTGTGTCGCAGGCTTCCTGGTATTGCGAAGGCGAAAACGGCAAGGAGGAATCGGTGTCACGGGCACGACTTATGAGAAGGGAGACAATGATGTGAGCGCAAACAATCCCGGCGCAGCTGCTGGTCTTCAGCCCAGTCAGCACTCCGGCGCATCGCCGTACTCGGAAGTGGAAGGGTCCAAGTACTGGCAACAGCCGCCGCCTCCCTCGGAGCTTAACGCCATGACATCGCCACAGGAAATGGGTGTTCAACGGGGGAGGCACGAGCTCCCGGGATAATGTTAAGATATCGCTGTACTTTTCAACTGAGTGTCAATGTCCCAAGACACCTTAGAAACGATAGAGAGAGAATAGATAAGGTTGACCATGGGAACTGGCGAATGTGTATTTGTTGTGGGCTTTGACTTTTCAATACGCTGAGTGCCATGACTATGAGAGTGGCAGAGATGCTCCGTGATTGCCCACTCATAGGTCAATATCGTCGCTTGATCAGAGCAAAGTCCCGTGTCATAAAGACAGAGAGGGTTGTCAGAGCGTATCAGAGGTTGCTTGGGTCAATTATTCAGGCGTCCGCAGCATTGTTAAATGTCACCTTAGTTAACTCGTTCAACGCAGTCGGGGCTAGGCCGCCTTCTAAAATACAGCGAGTGCCCAGGTGGAGAGGGAATGTCTGGCGCCCGGAGAGGGGGCAGGTTTTGTCAGAGAAAACGGCCTTATCGATAAGCTGATAAGCGAAAATTTTTCGAAAACCCGGCCATCCATTTCTCGCTAGATAGGTAGATCCCCGAGTAATTGCCCACCACTTCCTTAGCCATTACAGCATTTTTCAATCAGGTTCGCTCTCCCAGATCAATTGGCTCGCAGGTTCGCATTCCACCAGAATGTCCAGTGGCAAGAAGCATACCCGCGACGCGGAAGGGGACGAGGTGAGGCGGTCGAAGAAGGTCAAGACTGACACCGCCTCAACAGCCCCCGAAACCAATGGCGATCTTGACGGACTAAAGGAAGAGAAGAAGCGGAAGAAAGACAAGAAGGAGAAGAAACATAAGAAAGAAAAGAAGGAGAAGAAGGACAAGAAAGAGAAGAAGCGAAAGGAGCTTGCTGACGGAGAGACTGCTGCACAAGAGCCCGAGGCTGACCAAGTCGTCGAGAAACCCAAAAAGTCAAAGAAGTCCAAGGATAAGAAGCACCAGGAGCGGGAACAGGCACCAGAGAAACCATCTACTGCTAATGGTGAGGACTCTTCTTCTTCGGCGCCGTACTCCTACAAGCAAAGCGATGCCCTCACCGCCGTGCCCGAGTCCGAGGTCGAAGAATTCCTGAAGACAAACCAAATCACCGTCAGCGATCCCTCGAATCCGACCAATCTTCGCCCGATCCTTAAATTCTCTCAATTGCCCCCCTCTCGGCTTCTTTCGAAAGGCCCCTTTGCAAACTTCACCACGCCGACACCCATCCAGGCTGCTTCGTGGCCCTATGCATTATCAGGCCGCGACGTAATCGGTGTCGCCGAGACTGGCTCCGGCAAGACTCTCGCATTCTCTGTACCGTGTGTTGAGGCACTGCAAGCTATCAAAGATGAGCACAACAAGTCTACCAAGGGGGGCCAGGCGCTGGCGGTGATAGTATCCCCGACCCGCGAGCTGGCTATGCAGACCCATGCAGCTATCTCAGACCTTGCGAACCTTGTTGGTATGTCTGCCGTCTGTCTATACGGCGGTGCGTCGAAGGACGACCAAAGGAACCTCCTTCGCAAGAAGTCTGGCGCGCACATCATCGTGGCTACACCCGGACGACTGAAGGACTTCCTCAATGAAGGCGCAGTATCGCTAGAGAAGGTGAAGTTTGCTGTGCTGGATGAGGCCGATCGAATGCTCGACAAGGGATTTGAAGAGGATATCAAGCTCATCTTGGGCCAATGTCCGCCCAAGGAGCAGAGACAAACACTCATGTTCACTGCCACATGGCCCACGAGTGTTAGAGGACTAGCAGAAAGCTTCATGGTCAACCCAGTCAAGATCACAATCACCAGCGGCAACAGGAAAACCTTCGATGATGGCGAGGGCGGCACTATAGAGCTGCAGGCAAACTCAAGAATTACACAGACAGTGGAAGTCGTGGACCCCAGGGGCAAGGAGCAGCGACTACTCCAGATCCTCAAGCAATACCAGCGCGGTACGGCGCAGAATGACCGTATCCTGGTCTTCTGTCTGTACAAAAAGGAGACGGTCCGTGTGGAGCAGTTCTTACAACAACGAGGTGTCAAGGTTGCCAGTATTCACGGCGATCTGAGACAGGAGCAAAGAACTCGCAGTCTAGAAGCCTTCAAGGCCGGTACGACAAGCGTTCTGCTGGCTACTGATGTTGCGGCTCGAGGTCTGGATATTCCTGAGGTCAAGCTAGTCGTGAATCTGACCGTGAGTGATACCTTCTAGTTCATTAGACCCCATCCAACTTATGGACGCAACTAACTTGGCATAAATTAGTTCCCGCTCACCATCGAGGATTATGTCCATCGTATTGGCCGTACAGGCCGCGCCGGAAAGACCGGTGAAGCTATCACACTCTTCACAGAGCACGATAAGGCTCATTCTGGATCGTGAGTTTACTAGTTGCCCTGATACCTAATATCTTGCTAACAGTCAGCACGCAGTCTGATCAATGTCCTTCGAGCCGCCGATCAGCCCGTTCCGGATAACCTATTGAAGTTCGGTACTACCGTTAAGAAGAAGGCCCACGATACATATGGTGCCTTCTTCAAGGATGTAGATATGAGCAAGAAGGGCACAAAGATTACATTTGACTAAAGACGGTTGTGGATATAAAGTTAGATTCATTGTCTTGGCTACCAAGAGCCTATGCGGCTTTCTGTCGACCTCCCCGGACCTTGTCATAGCACTGAAGTAGAAATCGGCGCTCGGCGAATGCCCTATGATGTTGTTAGCATATTGATACCTTCCGATAGATACTGGCGTTAGACAATAGAGAGTAGCTTACAGGACGACCACAAATGGGACCGCAATAGCGGCTATCTTGGCTAAGTCGAAGACCAACTGTTTGGCGGTTGGATTTCCCATGCGATTAGAGCTTGTGACTCTAGGGATCACTTGACTTGTCACGGCAGCAGCTAGCACCGATAGTGGCCTTGGTAGAAGCTGTTTCATACTCCAGCTTACGCGTGATCGCTTGAAGTAGTCACTGATGAATCTCTCGGCCCAGATAATACGGCAACCCATATTGATCCCGTTCGCCAGAACCAGGCCGATGGCTCCAAGGTTCATAATGCGCAGAAAGACGAAGCCAGCAACACCAAAAGCTAGTGAGAATGCCGTCATCCAGGCAGACTGCCGATGCACTTCGGTCTCAGTTGCTACGGATGAGACAAACGCTTCTGTCACGCCGTTTATGGCTAGGAGTGGGATGTACCAAATGTAGGCGGCGAGGGCTGATCCTGCGCCAGTAGAGGACCACTTTGGACCGGCAATGAGAGAAAGCCCGATCGGTGCGGCAGTAGATCCTACAGCAGTGACAACGAGAGCCATGAGGACATATAGTCGTAACAAGGCACTGAGGTCTGAAGAAGCATGAGCGGCTGCTTGGTTCGAGGCAGTCGACTCCGTAGGCTTTGCAGTCTCCTCCTCGACGGCAGTCTCGTTATCAGTTTTCGCTGGTGCCGCTTGGGACAAGACACGGCTGAAATAACTACGGCTGCTCTCCTCAATGGGTTGAAAGACGAGCCTCGCCGCAAGACCGCCGTAATTGTTCGCCAAGGCATACACTCCTTGCGCTGTAGGCGAAGACAATGTGCTGACCAAGAGGGTGTCGCCCTGAGTAAGAATCTGCTTAACGATACTCTGAGCCATCATTGAGGAGGCTAGGCTGAGCGTAGGACGGTAGAAATATGATAGCGCGTAGTCTTCGGCCGTCTTTTTCTTGTCAGTGGCACTCGACGGGAGTGTCGATGCCAACCGCTTCGGGAGCAGCGAAAAGCCCTCTACACCGGCTAACGATAATCCATGCCATGCGTAGACTGCCAGCAGTCCTAGGCCGTAGGTTAACTGGCCCAGCGCAAATGGCAGCACGCCGAGATCGACTCCTGCTTGGGCAGCCCACAGCGCCGATGATAGAGTAGCAGCGCACTTCCCGACTGTAGCTACAGACTCGGCTGTAGCCCGCGTTCCGAATTGGAGCCGGATTTGCATCACCACAAACGCAGGCTCAGATAGGAGCTCGATCATTGCTGCAAGGGCGTAGATATAGAGCGAGGTCGTGAGATTCGGAGCGCTGGAAACGGTCTCCTGGCTAACGGATGCCAAATACATCCAACCTAGCGCGCCTGCTACGAAGATGCCCAGCGTAATGGATAAGTACGCGATGTTGACGGCAGCCTGAGACTGGGCAGCCTTTGCATCCTTAGAGTCCTTCTTTGAATCTAAGTCGATTGGACCATCTTGTCGTTGGATGGCCACACGCAGGCTCTCTCGGGCAAAAAAGAGTACAGAGAGATAGTACACTTCAAGTTGAGTTGAGATGCCGAGCAGCTGTGCCGTCATGAAACGGAGTAGCAACTGGTTGGCGATGAAGGTGATGGCGCGGGATGCGATCTGAAGAAGAATCAACAGCGATGCTCCCCGCACGGCACCACCACCAGCCATGGCCGAAAACAACGTCTATCGGCAATTTGATTCCAGTCAGTGGTTCCAACCACTTTCCTGGGACACATGTAGTATTGCTACTCTGAAAGAATTGGCGTAGTGACATTTGTTAATGGGATAGCCTGCCGATGTGGCCACGTGATTGGTTTCGTGGTGTGGCTGTTGGAAGTGTGGCTGGCCTTTGGTGGGGCTTGCTGTGCTCACGATGCATTTCGCCCCAAGTTGTTTGAGGTGTTTTGAATGTCAAAGATCATTCAGACCGCTTCTATCATCTAGTCTATTCTTCGGTTGCAGATTATATAGCAGACTCAGAATGAAATCTTGATCTGGATCGAGAAGGGAAAATCGGCCGCAGTCCAAGTGACAGCCAGAACACATGCACAACAGAGCTATTAGATGGAAAGGACGGAGCTATCAAAATACCAGCAGCGGTACCTGATAGTAGAGTATTGCTTGTTCACCGGCCCTCTTATCGCTTTCATCTCATTGAGACCTTAACTTGTTCAAACATGGCTTTCTGCTGTGCTAAAGTCCTCGAAAACCCAACCGACCATGATGTCGTTTTCCAAGCGAGCACCCGCTCTACCACTTCCCCAGATATAGCTCGAGTCGCGGAAGCCCCGTGCTGTTCCAAGCCTAAAGACTGTCTCAGAACTGGGGAACCTAGACGAGAGGCTTAAAACTATCATCAGATTTCCCCACTATGCTCTTTCTCTCGGTGCTTCTCGAGGGGCACCTCGGCGGTGGCGCTTGCATCTTATAGCATCCAGCTTTTTGGGCCAGATCGCATCACGTTTCTTCAATTAAGGCCCATCCAGTCTGCTCGGTGAAATCCCCGCATCATTAATCGGAGCAACCCGTCGTCCGGAGCAGAGGATAAGGTGAATGGCGCCGAGTTAGGGACGCCGGCGGCGGCGCCAGACGCGTGAGGCTTGCCAGCCCATTGAAATGGCCGAATCTGTTGAGATCCGGCGATTTCAGCGGAATTTTCAACGTAGATCACTGGGTGCTCGCTCACTACCGAAGCTTGGCTGGCCTGGCCAAGCTCACTGGTCCATGACGGAAGTCCCGCTGCACGCTGTGGGATGATGTGCCGCGGTGGCTTGCTGGGGGATACAAGGGAGACTGGGGCAATTAGGGTTCAATGCCACGTCCCTAACGCCGCTAGCTGGAGATAGCTTGTTTGAATGATCAAGCTTGTTTCCTCTGCCGCTGCCATGCGCACCAATTCTCATGCTAATGCGGCATATGCATCCTATCGCGGGCCATTGATCGGAGTTATGCAGTAGTGCCGGTGAGGTCATTCTTTCACCTACACTCCCGATTTCTCAATCCAACTTCAGGCGATTACCATCGTTTCGAGATTGACGAAGAGGATGGCAGTTTCCTGGAGTGGAGAAACGCGTCTTGCTGGCAGGTAAAGCCGAGATCTCATTGAGCGTGCCCCGTATACCACGTTCCAAAGTCCATTGCTGTGCTTTGCTGATGCAGTTGCCTTTCTGGTCACACGGTTTGAAATTTGGGTGCGGAGATTGACTGTCAAATCGACTCTGTCGATCGCGCGTTCTCGGCGGTATTATCCTGACTGACTGTACCATCCTCTCTAGGCTACTGCCCTTTGAGATATGGGTCAGATGGCTCTGCTATACGCTGATTCGACCTGGCGGTCAGTCACAGGATGCCGTGCACAGGAGTCTGGCTGCGGTGTGGTTGCTAGCCGCCGTTGAGGAACCAGCATCGAGTCAGCTCTCTCCACCCGCTTGACTTCCTCTTGCACGACTGCACGGGGACTTCCTGTGCCTCTCTTATGCGCCTTGATTATCGTTGTCTACTTTGTGGAAAGATTGTTGCCGCAAGACCGCGCCAGATAATGCCATGGGCTTCTAAATCCCTCCAGACTTCGTCCTCCAGTCGAGAGGCGAGGAACCTGCCAAGTACCATAGACATAGATGGCTTGGACACTAGGACAGGCGGCCTATGCTGCATGTGCTGATTGTGGCCACCCTAAGCTCTCCTACCCCAGGTTTGATAATCTGATCCCATTGTGGTGTTCATCAATCTGGGACCGGTTAGCCGAGGCCTTCAAGCGCAGCCTCTAGTTGGGTGAGAGAAGACACGAGAGCGTCCCAAAGTAAGGGCTGTCATGAATACGCAATCTGCGTCCAGTCATGGACGATGCCTCCTACTCCATCGGGCTGGCCGTGTGCCTGCCCACTTTCCTTGCCTCCCCCGGCCGAGTTTCATCGCGTCACGGGTCCCTGATGGATGTGGCGGGGAGGATCACCGCTAGATCCCCCGCATTTGAGTCTCTCGCAGCATTGGGCTTGTTGGAGGGTCGGGGGCGTATCCGCATCTCAGGACTGGCATGACTGCTTGAGACTGGCTAGACAGCCTAGACGGTACATACTGCAGTACAGGAGGAAATGGAACCTACGATCCATTCGGTGCTTTCCAAGATTCTTAGTCCCCTGCGATTTACTCTTCCCCCCCTGCGAGTGTGGAGGTGAGGTGCCTTCCTTTACGTCCTACCTACAGTAAGCTCTCGAGCGCTCTTGCCTTCTTTGGCCTATTACCTTGTCATACTTCTTTGACTTGGGTCTGGCCTTTTGGTTGTTGGGGCATCAATCTCTCATGACGCGACCTCCTCAATCTTACACCCAATCCGGCCGAATAAATGCATGCGTCTGCATCTTCCCGCACTGAATAAAACCCAGCCTACTCCCCGGTCATCTGCTCTGTCCTTGCTTGATCTATACATCACACTTGTCCCCTCTTTGTTTACCATTGATCAAGTGGGCATACTCCAGACAGATCACTGGTCGTAAAGCCCATTCTCACCTATCTTCCCTCACTTACCGGTTCAGTCAGTAACGATGGCGCCACCTGTACTAAGAAAGCTCTCACTGGTGAAGCCGCAGGAGGAAGCCGGCAAGGCTTGGCCTGCCATTGTCGTCGGTGCCTTCGTGGCTTTTGGTGGTGTCCTCTTCGGGTACGTTACTCAGTCAAAATATCACCGCCTCTATATCTATTCAGATCTGAATTAACCAATGCCTTTCAGCTATGATACCGGTACCATCAGCGGTATCCTTGCTATGGATTACTTCCAGAACCTTTTTTCTACCGGCTATATCGACACACATAACCATAAAAACGTATCTCCGTCGCAGACTTCGGCCATAGTGTCCATCCTCTCTGCGGGAACCTTCTTTGGTGCCCTGAGCTCACCCTTCCTCGCCGACAATATTGGTCGACGCCTCGCTCTCATTGCCTCCACGTGTGTCTTCATCTTGGGTGTCATCTTTCAAACTGCTGCCACCGCTCTGCCGCTGTTTCTTGCGGGCCGCTTCTTTGCCGGCTTCGGTGTCGGTCTGATCTCTGCCTTGAGTAAGTGTCACGATGTGACTTACACGATTGTTGCGACATGTTCTAATTCGTTCCGACAGTTCCGCTCTATCAATCCGAGACCGCCCCCAAGTGGATTCGTGGTGCTATTGTCGGGGCCTACCAGTTTGCTATCACTATTGGACTTCTGCTCGCAGCCATCGTGGACAATGCGACCTCTCACAAGCAGGACACCGGTTCATACCGTATCCCAATCGCCATTCAATTTGCTTGGGCCATCATCCTCATCGGCGGCATGGTATTCTTACCCGAGACACCTCGCTACTTAATCAAACGAGGGCGTCACGAAAAAGCAGCCCGTGCCTTGGGTCGACTTCGACGTCTGCCACCTGATCATCCATCCATTGAGTATGAGCTAGCCGAAATCCGCGCAAATCACGAATTCGAGCTCAGCCTTGGAAAGGCCAGCTATATTGACTGTTTCCGTGGCCCCATGTTGAAGCGACAGCTCACTGGATGTGGACTTCAGGTCAGATAATCATCTTAACGCTGGTGAATTGCTGTGCTAATATGAGGTTTAGGCTCTACAACAGCTCACTGGTATCAACTTCATCTTCTATTACGGCACCCAGTACTTCATCAACTCGGGAATCAAGGATGGTTTCATCATTCAAGTCATTACCTCGACTATCAACGTTGTTAGCACAATTCCGGGTCTATATGCCATCGACAAGTGGGGGCGACGGCCAATGCTCTTCTGGGGCGCAATTGGCATGTGCGTCTCTCAATTCCTGGTCGCCGTCCTGGGAACCACCACTACATCGCAAGACTCAACGGGCAAAATAATTGTGCACAATGTCGCAGCCCAAAAGGCTGGAATTGCCTTCGTCTGCATCTACATCTTCTTCTTCGCCTCCACTTGGGGTCCTCTAGCCTGGGTCGTTACGGGAGAGATCTTTCCGCTCAAGCAGCGAGCTAGAGGTCTTTCTATGACCACAGCTACGAATGTAAGTCTCTTCAGTAACTTTGTATGTCATGTTTCCATCACCTGGCAGCTCAGATGACTGTCACATCTCGCTTCAAAACGTGATTTTTTTGGAGATGATGATGCAAGCGGCTTGAGAACGTCTCCAGTCCAGACTGGGGGCTAGCTACCCCGCATTCTTAGCGCAACGGCAGTGAACTGCGGTGGGCGCCACAGCGCATAAGCTTCTTCGAGAAGTGGTCTATTAGTGGCTGATCTACTGAGCTTGACAACCTGGATCACGATGCCAAGTGTTTTCTTATTCAAGCACGCATGCGCTGACAGAACCTCGCTAACCTTTCGTCTCTCAGTGGCTACTCAATTGGGCTATTGCCTACGCGACTCCCTACCTTGTGAACTACGGTCACGGCTATGCCAACCTGCAGTCGAAGATTTTCTTTATCTGGTTTGGCTGCTGTTTCATCTGCATCGCCTTTGTCTACTTTTTCATCTATGAGACAAAGGGATTGTCTCTTGAGGAGGTTGATGAGCTCTATGCCGAGGTAAAGGGTCTCAATGGCGCTCGACAATCGACAAAGTGGACGCCAACCCAAACCTTTGCGCAGCGGGGTAGCGTCGCCGGTGCTGGCGGGGTTCGTGGCGAGCCCAAGGATGGCCATCTGGAGCATGAGGAGGACCGAGAGAAGACCGTTGTCTAATGGGATCTAAACCATTGAATTTTCAGGAGTCCCCAAGGAACTGTGATGGGCCTCCTTTTCGCCAGGTCGCAAGCCCATGTTGGGGGATGCAGAACAACGTCAAGGTATTAGTAGACACAAGCTCAAGGCGCTTGCTTCGCTATCAGCCCAAATACCAAATTTAACCTAAGTCGTCACGCTTCGTTGATTCAATGGGAAGCCGAGTGAATGACCCTCAGCTTGACAATTGAGTGTCTCGACGTTTCATCGTGCTATAACTCCTTATTTTGGTGATACAGGACCGCACTCTCCGAAAGGGTCGACATGTCGGGAGAAACAAATGTGAGATCGAACGCGGATTTAAGGCCGAGGGGTTTATCTATTGCGGCGCCACTGTCAGCGTGTTGCATATCTGTAGCGTACTTGCTGACACCAGCCAGGCTCCAACTCTTCGAGTAGGGGCAATGAGTCACGCCGTTTCAATGATGCCAACAAAGCCACACGCAATTGCAGAACAAAGGTCGAAAGTATTGAGATGGGACAGATTGACAGACTTTGGTAACTCGTCCCGTCAAGGGGCGTCCCGCGCATTTATGCAGTATGACCTACTCTCTCAGGAGCGTTCACTTTGGCGGCTAAACATCGGTATTTCAGCGGGCAAACCTACCCTGGCTAGATAGAATTACCAGTATAGAACAAATCTAGTCATGCATAGGTGTAGGCTAATCTTCGGCACAGCGGGCGCGCATTCCGTGACAACATAACGATGCTATCGTGAAGCGGACCGTAGAGAGGGTAAGTCCGCCTGCACGTCAGTAAATATTGTCAGCACGGAGCAATTGCGATACAGATGGTTCCTCAGAGTCATCGCAACCACTCCGTATCGGGTCACCTACGAGGTTCGCAGCAGTCGACGCCATGCCCGAATGTATCAGAGCCAATGCTCTGTAATCGTCAGCTTACAAATGTCGAACTGCTATGAAGCTTGGCGGCTACTGGGTCTCGCACCACTGCCCCAATAGAGAGACGCTGGATAAACCTCGGTTGACTGGCTCTATGAAGTACGATGGCTGTTCCGATGCAAGGGTATTCACAATCCTTCAGGGATAATGGAGGCATTTGAGGCAGCTTGGGACGCGTGATAAGCCACGTACGAGAACTGGTTCAAATTCGCCATGTCATTGGTAATCAAATATCAAGCATGGAGTGTGGTTTTGACCTACCTTACCGTTGCTCCTTGTTGAGGGTTTTAGCGTCCCTCTCGAGGTATAAAGTGAGGCAGAAGCTGCTCTCTGAAGTTGGTTTGAACCGATAACAAACTTGAACTTCATTCTCGGTTTTGCTTCAAGAACAGCTCTTGTGCTTATGTTAGCACCCTCTCAATTCATCATGGCTTCAAGATATCCTCTTCCTTATGTCTACACCGCGGAAGAGAAGACCTCTCAGAGTTCCAGTGGCTCGATTGTGTCTTCGATCCTCACCAAAACGGGGCTGAAGAAGTCTGAGAACAAGACCCAAACCAAGCAAAACTACGGCTCTGAACAAAGCCGATTGTCCACTGAGTCGGTGGACACGATTCAACGCATCAAAGAGGAGAACGAGTCGAAACAAAGATGATGAGTACAAATGTAGTTAAGTTCATGTTGGACAATACGTTGTTGTTCTTTGTTCCATGTTAATGTACTAACTATGGAAAAGCCGCCGAGGTTACGCCAGACCATGTCCCCTATCTACTATCACGTATCTCGATGTCGAATGATACTGGGATGGAGAGAACTACGACATCGCTGATGTCCAAGCATATATTCTAAGGGTTTAAACGCGTCAGATTCGTTGCGTGCTGTTAGATGGTTCTGGCCCTCGCGCGAGTTTACTTGGTCTATTCAATTAGGTTGATTCAAAGAGCCTTTCCTCTGGTGTTCCTTAAGTGACACCAAGGAGTAGGTCAGAGGATTTGCGATGTCGGTGTTTGTTAGTCGTTCAAAGGCTTGTTTTGTTTTGAGGATACACACTCTTGATACTGAACAATATATTGTTCTGTTGCCAAACCGTGCTCTCCTCGGCTATTTAAAGCTCTCGTGGCTGACATGTCACACTGACTCTCAAATTAACTCTCCCAGATCTCTACGAAGTCAAGAAGCACTCGTTACTTCGCGTTTCTGTCCTAGTCAGATCAGAGTTCCATCAACATCGCACAAATATGTGTATCATGGTGGGTAGGAACTATGAGTGTCCGGCGGATCCTTCAGCGGAGTCAAAGTTGAGACAAGTGCACACTGTTCATTCGAAGAGATTATGTTCGAACCCCAAGGTATGCAAAGGTGCTGGTTTCGCCTATGAGCAACACCACTACAACTTCCCCTGCCCTCGTTGTTTCACGGGTGAGCGATACAAAGTTCGCAAATCTACGTACAACACGTACACGTCAACTCGACATCTAGCCAACGGATGGGATCAAAACTACGAAGACAACATACTGGCATATATCACAGGACTGTACCGTTTGATGCATCTCCTTCTTGCATTCGATATTTCTGACCAGGATGCTGAGAAGGTGCAGGCAGAGCTTCTAACAACCGTCTTTCACGAAACTCAATGCAGGGAAATTGCTCATCCACGACAAGATCTAATTTCAACCTGTAAGTGCTTCTCCATGAGACACCCCGAAAGGGTGAATATAGCCCTGAGAGCGAGACGAAACGAGACGATGAAAATTTTTGAGGGCATAAAGCATCTTTATACTTACAAGCAGGAGCAAGAAGTTGCAGCCATTGCCTGCCAGGAATTCGCCGATCTTCCGAAAGATGGAGAATATGATTACGAGTGGGAAGTCACGCCTTTCAGCAGCGATATGACTGCCAGACGCCACAAATACGCTTCTGGACTGGCCGTGGCGTACTATCAAGGGCCAGCTCGGTGTAGGCTCTTCGCGTCAACGGCCAGCACCTGGCAGGAAGACAGAGCTAGTATTCGCACAAGGACCAGTCTCTTAATGTTCGTGAGTTTCATAGTCTGTATGGACCAAGGGGTACCGGATGCTGCGATTCCCGATATCCTACGGGGATTCCTGCCGCTCTTGTATCCTTCCCATGCATTTGGCAACGCTGCGTTCGATTTCCATTTCAACCCGACTGCCATTCCTGGCCAGCCACCCGATCTTCGGCCTCTTGGTCCCGTCGAAACAGCGGGAGGTTGGAAATTAATGAACGATTTCTTAATCATACACGCTGAGATACATAGGCGATCGGGCAGCGACTCTGAGAGACTCGTCGCAAAGAGGACCGCTGCAACGCTGCGGGTCAAACCATTCCAGGATGCCCTCCTCAAGCGAGATGCCAAGGAGAAATCAGCCTACCATCGTGCCGCTGACTTTTTCGAGCAAAACCTTATGTACGTGGATGACATTGACGAAGAATGTGCCATCTGTCGGGTGGACCATATAGGTGGCACAGTCCAGGACCCAGTAGACCTCGAGTCGAGTATCTATCCAAAGGTTCGATCACATCGAGGAGCGAGGTTCAAGGCTTGCCAAAAGGGCCACGCATTTGGGCTGACTTGTTTGTTCCAGACATTTTGCTGGAGAGCAGACGAAGGCTTTAAGGTGCAAGACTTGCCATGGCTCTGTCCCTACTGCCGCACACGCATTCCACCCGCATAAACTATACTTCATTCAAAGGACGATGCAGCTCTGTGAGCCGTCCATAACAAATAGCTTCTAAAGCTTTTAGGTTAGGTAAGGAGACCCAACATTGGATAGATCTATTCACCACAACACACAGCTAATTTGATACATCATTGGTCCAATTGATAAAACAACTCAACATTAATTCCTGACTCGGTGATAACAGTTTCAATGGCTCGTGTCGATAAGCATGAGTCAACAGATCCCTACAATCGTAAACGTAACCGTAGGTTGCACCTGGAAGGGATTGTCTAGTTGAAAGCGGAAAACCAAAGCCGGGGCCAGTCCCAGCTCCAGTAAACCCGTATTATGTCACTGGTCCTCCCCGCAGTGCTGCAGTATGGGGATCCGCCCCTGTCCTGAAAACACCACTAGCCACCCTGTGATTACACTTCAGCATCATGATTTGTCCCGATATTCCCCATCTGGATCTCAAGCGTGGAGCTACATGTGCACAGGGACGTTCCTATTATTTCGACGGTGGCTCTTCATATGCGGGATCACAGCCACCCGCATAAGCCATCTATGCCCGCCTGTAGGAATGCTAGCATTGATCTTGGCTAGGGACCTATTATTCTGGGCGGAGAAATGGAGCTGGCCGCTATGCCTCACCTTATCTCTAGCGAGATCTGGAAAAGCATATCCCCTAAAAAGGGTCACAGGGAGACAAAAAATTACGCTAGGCTCAACTGAGTATCCAAGACTAGGACGACATCTTTCATGTAAAAGAGGTTGTTATACACCAATAATTTTGAATTGGTTGATTGCCTTGTACATTCACGTTTGTTTTATTCCATCTGAGGTTGGTTTGCAGAATTGTTACTTCAAAATGGCTGTGATTTCAGCTCAGACTCTGCTGCAGTCTCCAAGTCTCATCGCTGCGGCTCTTGGGGCAGTTGTATGTTGTCCTTCGAGATGGTGAAGCATCGGAACGTTAATATTCGTGTCTTAGGGTTTCCTTTACGTCTTGTGGAGATGCATTTACAACATCTGGTTTAGCCCCCTTGCTAAATATCCGGGCCCCTTTCTCGCCAAGATCTCTCCGGTATATAAAGCTGTTTGATTAAAATGACATTAACTGAATCTATGTAGATCTACAGTATCTGGGGTTTGTTTCGAGGTCGATGGCCGTTTGATGTCCATCAACTTCACCTCAAATATGGTAGGAGCAATACACAAGGATGATATGGACCCTATTACTGACATAAGTTGAAGGGCCAATTCTACGCACCATGCCCAATGAGCTTGCTTTCACGGATCCACAAGCCTGGAAAGACATCTATGGCCATCGTCAGGGCCATCCTCAATTTCACAAAGATCGTGAGTTTCCAAATTCCCTTCCGTGGCTGTAGTCTGCTGACAATTCTCGTAGCGATTCAGTAGGTCATCAAAGGTCAAATTGCTTTAGGTTTAGCAACTAAATATCGGTAGCGTCGGCTCCGTACAGGACATCCCGGGTTCAACTACCCTTACGATGGCTGATGACAACAATCACAGCAGACAACGACGGACTCTAGCCCATGCATTCAGTCAAAAGGCGCTGCTTGAGCAGGAAAGCATTATTCGTGGCTATGTTGATCTCTTCGTTGAGAAACTTACACCCTTTTCGCAGTCTGGAAAGCCCATCAACATGTGTGACTGGTTCAGTAAGACTCCCCTTTGGAGGAAAAGTCACACAGCCTACTAACATTATGCAGACTTCACTACATTTGACATTATCGGCGATATGGCATTCGGAGAGCCTTTTGGCTGCTTGAAAGATGGAGTGTTCCACTCATGGGTCTCGCTTATCACACAGACGATCAAGGCCGGAGCTTATGAGCAGGCCACTCGACGGATGTTCCAAGCAGGAAGCACGATGCAGGAGCTTCTGTGCAAGCTGATTCCGAGCGATCTTAGAGAGAAACGTTACCGTCATCTTGAATTGAGCCGCGAGAAGTGTCTTAAGTAAGATTTTGAATTGATGGCTTTTTGGTGCCTAGAAACTGACTGAGTTTGCAGACGCATTGACGAAGGTCTACGCAGAGAACATCGTGACTTCTTGTACTATATTCTCCGCCAGAACGAGAAGGGAGGCGTCAGCCAAGACGAGATCATTTTGAACAGCGCACTGTTCATGTAAGTTTCACTTAAATTACAATTTTCATTGTCAGCACACTAACCCGAATCCCTTGTCCAGTGTTGCCGGCTCCGAAACAACAGCCTCCCTTCTTTCAGGAATGACCATGTGGTTGATGCGAACTCCCCACGCTTACAAGAAGCTGACGGAAGAGATCCGAACAACATTCGCCAAGGCTGAGGACATGCACTTTTTGCAGTTACAAGAGATGACCTACATGAATGCATGCATCGACGAGGCCTTACGCATCTTCCCTCCCCTACCGACCGGACTTGCTCGCACCGTTCCCGCGGGAGGCGACACTGTGGCCGGGGAGTTTCTGCCAGGTGGTACCATCGTGTCGGTCTACGGCTGGGCCGCAACGCACTCACCGCACAACTTCTTCCGGCCCCAGGAGTACATTCCCGAGCGATGGCTGGACGAGAAGTATGCGAACGAGAACAAGGAGGCCAGTCAGCCGTTCTCGCTTGGACCGAGAGGCTGCATCGGCAGACACTTGAGCTACATGGAGCTCCGCTTGATTCTGGCGAGCTTGTTGTGGCATTTCGACATCGAGCGGGCTGATGGTGACGCCGATGTTGATGTTTGGGATCCGACTAACGACTTGCAGCATGTCAAAGCGTTCAATACTTGGAACAAGCCACCCCTGTGGTGCCGCTTAACTCCTGTTAAGCGTTGAAAGACGAGATGACCGGCTGTCGCGCACAAGCAGGACTGAAAGGAGGAGTGCTGTCATAATGATTTCACGTATGGTTCGGGATGAATGGCATGAATGGCAAATGAGTGTTAGGGGCTCTAGAACAACGAAAAGGCATTGAAATTCATGAGCGCTGTGAAAAGCATACTTATCACTCCGTCTCAACAAGGATCACTTCAAGGTGGATGAGTTCAAAGATAGATGATAGTTTGTAAGACGGAATCATATCCTAGTTGCGCCGGAAAAGTAAGTCAGATCATCATAGGGTGTCTACTAAGTAGATCGTGGAAGCTCTTCTAGCAGGTAGAAGAAGACGGCTTGGAATAAGAGAAGTGTGTTTTGGAAGTTGCAAGGATAGATTTTGATCCAGCAGTATCATGAGCGTAAACTAAAGCAAAACAATGTTCGGCTAGAAGTAACTGCCAAGTAAGGAAGCAACAGCAAGTCCTGCTCTGCCAAGTCCACCTACAATGGCCCGAAACTCTTCGTACCATCAGACCCTTCAGTAACGTGAACGCCATGGAAACCGAAACCAATGGCAAAGTTCACATCTGCGCGTCCCATCTCTGTCATCGTCTTTGCGTCCAAACACAACAAATAACTTTTCTCCTGAGTGCCATCGAGTACCACGCTTAGAAGCACCCCGTCGTCCTCCTCTTTGGCGCCGGGGCGCGCTACAAATATTGCCTCGCTGGGCGTGTGGCCTTGAAGGTTGTTCCAGAAGATAACGTTACCAGTGTCGATGTCTGTTTTCACGAGGGTGTCTAACATAGTCGAACGCCCGCGGTTAGGTAAAGAGTAGACGTGGCGATATCGTTTGGTCTGGTATGCTGGGTTGATAGTAGGTAGCTCGCCGATGTGCGGGCCGAGGATTGCAACTACCTTCTCCGGCTTAGGCGAAGGCTTCTTAATCCGACGTTTCTTATCCATTGAAGATGACGCCGTCGGTGTATCAACCCTGAACTTCCACCTTGCGAAGCGAGGGTGGAGGTTCTTCCCAATGTCGGAGCCCCATATAGCCTTTGTACTGTCATTGCGATTAAGCATGACGTCGTAGTATAACAGGCGCATTATGTCTGTGTTCGGAAACTCAACAACATCACAATAGAGGTCGACCTGCTTGGTTGTCCCGTCAGTTGCCATCTTCACCTGCTCCTCAAAGCTGTTGATGGTGTGAAAGAAGAACCCAGCGGGCGTTTCGAACTCTGCTACGACGCCTTGACCGTGTAGTCTGTCAACAACAAACCATTTGCAGACCAGCTTCTCGTCGAATGGTACAATTGCATCCAGTACATTTCTATTCCACGCAATTTTCAGGCCCTTCCAGGCCAGATGTGAGCTTGGTACACAGAGTGTCACGAAACTCTCGGATAAGTAAAAGCTATGAATATAAGCCGGCATCAGGTTAGACTTTTGAATTGTTGCTAAGATATCTGTTTTACCGGTAGAGGCCGACACGCGGAAAATACGATATGTTGCGGTTTTCGCCATGTGCAAGTTATAGTTGAAGTAGTCACCAGTGACTGGATCACGATGCGAATGTGCACTTGAGAGCGGTCCGGTCAACTCTGGATGCAGTACCACTTGAGTTTCGAAGCCAACAGGCTCGAGCGTAGAAGCATCCAGCTGCCTCAGTGAACAGGTGTCAGTGGCCAGCCACACCGAGTTCGCACGGTGCCCGCTGATGTTCGGTGCCTTGGTGTCTCTATTGATCGAATTTGTATGACCCGGCAGGCCTGGAATAGGGGTTTGGACGGTAACAGAGACGTTTTCAAGTCGCTGTCGATCTCTACTAATATCTCCATTCTTCCACACGCTCATAAACTTGGAGTAGAGGCCGACACATGGATCTGCCTTTTGTCCGAATGTGTAGAGCCTGCCAGCACCCTTCTTTTGAATATACTTGGCGAGCTCCTCACTCTGCCTTCTCGACGAGTACATAACTTTGACTTCGGGCTGGCCGCTGGCATATTCACCTTCTTGTGAAGGAACGATATCGAATCGATGTGTATGTGCCAAGCCATCAAACCAGTGCGAGATGTAGTAGATTCCATCTTTGCCGTAGCGGGTATCTTTGACTGTACACTGACCAGGACCTGTGCGGTAAAGACTGCCAGCAGCCCAGGAAGGAATGGTACCGGTCACCGTGGCCTCTAGCGGACCACGATGCTCCTCCAGGCCATCAAACTACTTAATCGTTAGTAAACAATGCTCGTACGAAATGTGATTTATATTGCCAAACGAGATATAAGCAAGGAAGGCAGGAGGAATGAGGGGAAAATATTTACTCCAGCTTCATTCGGCCACTCTTTGTATGCTCCTTCAAAAAGGCACCGAACAGCCTCATCATGATCTTTCACCTCGTCCTTTGAAGTTCTTTGGGCCGGCAGACTCGGTGCCGGGGAGAATGTGGATCCCATATTGGTGGTGTTTGCGAGCGAGCTTTGATAAATGATGGATGATGCTGTGTAAGGAGGGACAAAAAATTTGTAACAAAACAAGCAATAGAAAGGCTTGTTTGTGTGATCACCAAGGGAGGAAGGTCGAGTGTTTCACAAAGTGAGGTCGATGTAATCCAGCAATGAGTGGAAGTTGGGGCTCTGCCGATGTTATGCCGATTGTTGATGAAGGATGCTTCGGTGCCTGCGATATCGAATGATTTGTGCTGTCGTCACACACCTCCAACCATTCCTTTCACCTCCCACAGTAACCGAATGCGAGGCAAATATGCAGTGCAGCTCCAGTGCGGGGGTCTGCAATTCCCTCAACCGTTTGCTCAGCAAGTCTGAAGGGCAGGACGACCTGCACAGCACGCTTATCACCTCTGAGGTTGACCGCCGAGTTGTTGCTTTTCAACTTGTTGGAGTAGACATACACAGAGAAGGGGAAATAACAGTTAGCAGGTACTTCGTGGACCAAGCCGGCTTCAGCATGCCCCCAAAAAAACCGATCACCTTCAAAGCGAATTGTAGGAGAGGTGTAGCTTTTCAGGAAATAGATGATGAGATATACCTATAGAGGGACAACGGCTTCTTCAACAAGGGCAACTGCGCCTCTTAAATGCATTAGGCGCAGCAACCCACAACGGGCAGCTACGATGGAGCTGGGGAAGCAATAACAAGCGAGAAGGCGCCGCGCCAGCAGCTTGGCACCTTCCGTGGCTGTCAAACTCGCGAAATGCGGCGCATTCGGGCTTCTGGACTTCCGCACCCTCTCTCCTCCTCTCTCTCTCTCTCTCTCATTTTGTGCTACACGGACGGCCGTACAACCCTCTCTGGTTCGAGTCTCCGAAGACATGCGTCTATCAAGCGAGGAGACAGCGATGACGACGACTGACAAAACATCCCGAGGAACATTGTTCTCTGGGATGGTTAGGGTAGCGAGGGTAGGAGAGGCCAAGCCAGCTAAACGACTAGGGGCATAGTCGGCTGCAGGGTCTCGCATTCGCCAATGTCAAGCGACGGATTTAAACCGCAGAATGATCAGCCTCTCGGCCGGAAGTTTGTCCTTGTGGCGTGGCGAGAGTGGCTCTTTTGGACCGTGTTGTCTCAACGACACAAAATCGCTTGAAAGCGCCCGCTGCACGGCCTGTGATGTCGATGGCGCTCGCTAGACATCTCGCTCAGCCATTCTCAAGGGACGAGGTGGCATGAGCAGGGTTATATGTGTGCCATGGCATCATTCGCACCAACACGGGTAGCCACCGCAGGAATGGAAAGGTCGGGAGGAAATTAGGTCAAGAACGCCTTCCATGTTGCTTCCCGAGACACACGGAGAAATTTTAGCCTTGGATAGCTGCGTTGTCTTTTTCTCTGATCTAGCAAGGCATTTAGACGTCACATCAACTTTATTGACGCCCGGTGAGTCTTGCTGGGCGAAAATGGCGTGTAATGATTTCACTTGAAAAGACTGAGCTGGCGCAAGATACACTACAGTGCTGAGGCCGATGTGGGGGTGCGGCAGGTGAGGTACTGCGTAGGACATACAGTCGGTATAAAGCCAAGAGCACCCACTCGCCAATTCCGTCTCCATACAATAGGCACTAATTAGATCTCATATCATGCAGCGACATCTGTCTTACAATTTTGTAGACAGATATCGTTATTCTCAGTCATAGTAAGAGCGCGATCATCAATCCTATCCGTTAAGACAAGCCAATTTGCGCCTCTATGCGATTATATTTTGCATTCGTATTCAAAGCGACCACTCTTGGAACGCCCATGCATGAGTGATGGGGCTCAAATACTTGGTTGATCACATGTCATTCCTCCTAGTAAAAACATAGATCTCAATAGCCTCTTGAAACATGCTGACGCAGATATTCGAAGCATCTCTAGAGAAACGGCCGCTTGCAAAATTAGGAGAGGCAAAGCATATGGCCATGTCAAATTTCGTTCTTTCTTTTTCTTTTTCTGGTTCAATTCTGTTGCAATTCGAGACTTGACTCGCCAGGATGTCCCCGAAACTCGTCGAATACTCGAATACACGGATAGCTAACATATTCATGGAGTAGATATCGACGACTTCCCCGGCGGACCGCAACCTCCCTCAGGTAATGGCTTACACGGTAATGCCTTCGCAACGACTTCCACATCGCGGGTCTTAACCTTCACATCCTCTGAGATTTCCTGTCATATTGTTATAGACCGTTGCTGAACGAGGAGATAGTAGTCGGCAGTCTAATGTGCTTACCTGGATAGACGTGACAACAGCTCGAGTACCGATCTGGGGACAGCTCGGGTTCAGAGGATACTCAATGCAATCCTTGTACGGGTCTTTAACCATTCTCTTCGACAGACTATCAGTAGTCGGGAGACCCAGGATGGGCGCTCCCAGTGCGCCGAAGACGAGAAAATCAGTGAGTCTCATCTTGCAATTGCTACAGCAGTGTACCAAACCATTCCAGAAGAATGTTTCTTACCGGTACCAAGGTGGCGGCCACCTCACATTATATATACCCATCCCCAATCTGACTTCAACACTGCCTCACTTTGGAACCGATCTGCCAGAGGTGCTGTGCTGGCTAACCTGACACGATTCGGACTTCGGATGGCTGGTTCTCAAGCATACATATACACATAGCCTACTTCCAGTGCTGACAGCTGGTCAGCTGCATCGAGAGCCACGCTCTATTTGCCAGCAACATCATTGATGTGTGCCTCGGCGTTGCTCCACCAAATTATTGCGCTGTCTCATAATGGTTGTGGTTGTGCTCACGTTAGCCTGGTGAGCGCCAATCCGAGGAATCTGGAGCCTGCTGCTGGCCACTCCAGTTGTCGCGCTGACGCTCAGCTTGGGATTGGGATGGTTATAATTGAAATGTTATTCTGAGACGAAACTCAAGCGACTTCTTTGTCAGTAGGACTGGCCGCTTTTAGGGCCTTGCGCTACTCGGCTCAACTTTGGCTCAGTCATTGATCAGTCCTCGTCAGAGTTGCTTCACCTGCACCAGATCCTGTTCACGCTTTTCCTGAGTAGTACTAGAATAGGTTATTGATCCGATTTTCAGGCCCTCAAGCTCTGAGACCTTTTATATCACTGTGTCTAAAATCTATGATGATTATGATAACCCCAACTAGGAGCCTTTTTTAGGTCTTATTCTAGACCTCGGTTCCTAAATCACGATCCCTTAATAGCTAGTCTGTAAGCAAGCCGTGAATGTATAGTCCACTACCTAGAATGTAGGGTCTAGTTTGCGCTATTAGCATGCTCTGTAGAGTCACAGAGTAGAGATGGATAACTAACTTTGTCAGCACATCGACAAGCTTCATTAGTTGCCATGAAACTAAATAATTAGGTTGGCACGCGTGACCTTTGCTCTATCATGGTGGAGCGCTTGAGATCTGAGACGGAGCGGCGCCGTAAGTGCCCGTTATATCATCTCATGAAGGAGGCAATCGAAGAGCAAAGCTAATGTGCTCTGATTAAATTAGGTGAGTCCTGCCCTCCGTATTATTATGCCCGCAATGCCGCGCGGGGGGTTTCATCGCGGCGCGCTCCGCCGACCCCGATCTAGGATTATCCTACCATACTCTATCTAGCATGATTCGCAGCGATAAGCAATCCATATCCTAACCATCCTCTAGAGAAGCCGAAGTCTTCAAGTGGGCGACTGGATCTCATACAACTCTCGTGAGCGGTGGAGAAACATCCAAAGCCAGCCAGCAATAGCCTGTGATGCTCCACGTCAGTTTGGATGGGAATCCGCGGCCATACCGCTCAAGAACCATTAAGCCGTAAGAAAACCACTCTGATTCATGCGACCGATGTATGTCTCCGGTGGTCGGAGTTTCAGGAGATACTGACAAATGGAGCCTAGATGCGATGCATGCAGAAGACGAAGAGTTGCATGTATCAGGAACAGCGGAGAGACAGCATGTTCACTGTGCACCCATCGCCAGACGACATGCACGTTTCTGGCCCCTCCACCGTCGCGCAAGCCGAAGGGCTCTGCGTCGAGCTCAAGGACACGGAATGCACCTCGTCACTATCAAAAATCTTCCTCGGAAAGATCAAGTTCGACGGCTGCGCCTTTGCAATCTTCCGCCACCAAGTACAAGCCAAGCGGATCTACCATAGATCCAACCCGGACTTTTCTGTACGCAGGATCAAGCGGGAACCAAATGCTCCCAAGCCTTGACCCCCTGTTAAACCTCTGGCAGGAGTCAGACTGCTTGGGCAACAGCCAATTGGTCGTCTGGAAGGTTGGCCAGCTGGCGACACCATCATATCTCGCCGTCGTGCCCAATGGACGATTAGATTGCCATTCGAATATGTACTCTTCCGAGCTCGAAGAGTTGTGCTGGCCGTACCACGAGGAACTTATCCGGCTATATTACAAATACGTTCATCCATCCTATCCAATACTCGGCTCCCATACTTTCTTTGAAACCAAGCGCAGAGCTGGTCACCTTCCTAGCTCCCTAGTTGCCGTTGTGTACATGCATGGAGCCGCCTTCTGGAACGTATCACCACTTGCTGCCCAACACCTAGAGCCTCCTTTCCCACAAAATCTCCGGCAGCAGGTATATTCTAGTCTCACTAGCGAGTGTAGAACGCCTAATCTAGCGGTATTGCAAGCGGCACTGCTGTTCATGCAGCTTCCCGCGCCCAAGAATGAGCCCAGCTTTAGTGGCATCTGGGGTTTCATTACGATGACAGTGGGGATGGCACAGGACATTGCCTTGCATGTCGATCCTACAGACTGGAACATCTCGGCCGAGGAATGTTCTCAACGCCGAATCGTGTGGTGGGCCGTCTTTGTTCACGATATATGGATGTCCCACTGGCTAGGGAGACCGCCACATATTTCACAAGACTACTGGAACGTCCGGCCTTTGACGATCGAGGATATTTCCTTCGGGCTCGACAATCTGGATAACACGAAATTATCCTCAGCAAAATCATTCATTGCCCTCTGCGAGCTCACTGTCATACTTCGCGATGTCCTACATTCTTTCTACAGCATCCGGTCTGGATATCACGCGATGCTGCCCAGTGATGCGACCAATCGAGCAGATGTCATTTTCAAAAGGCTTGAGCAGTGGTCTCAAAGCGACTGTGTGCCATTGAAAACATGCTTTCCCCATGAGTACGTCAATCACTTAGGGGCTTGCACTGTCTGCCTGTCCGTTTGCCGTGCTGTGTATGGTGCGGCCAGGAAAGAGCCCAACTCGGAGGCACAAAAACTTATGACAGATCGCATCCTAGATACTATCCGCTCCGACTTCCTTCCTATGTTATCATCGATCCGGAAAACGTTACCTCAAGGCTTGTGGCTTATCTACACCAAAGGTAGTCTGGCAATGGTTGGCTCGTTGCTTGTTGCAATGCTAGGGTCAAGTATAGACGATGTTTCCCTTCGTGATAGGCACGGGCTTCTGCTGGAGTTTCGAGATACCTTGAGGGATATAGAAACTAGAAGTGCTGGCGAGATGGGAAGCAATGACTTTGTTCAATTGCCGCTCAAAGGACTTGATTTTGTTATCGAACAGTGCCTACAAGATGATGTGTGATGGCCAAAGAAGGTTAAGAGAAGCGGGTACTGTCAAGGCCCTGTCTGAAATTATTTGAGGATCGGTGTCTTGTTTTGCGTGAAAAAAATCTCAAAAGAGGCATGATATATCTCCTGTCAAATTGCCACCGAATGAAGAGAAAAGAATTAACAACCCTTGGTGTACAGTCATGCATGCATACAATCAAGATCAGCTAGTCTTCGACATAGCCACTATTTGATCACAAGCCGAGCTTCTCATTCGCCATCTTCCTCATGTTTCTTTGGCCAGCTGTTAATCCCTCTTCATACTCGTCAAATTTCAGATAGCCCATAGCGCGGAGGCCTGCATCACAGAGGATGTTCTCCTTCCGGGCCCCGTGATCTTCATGCTCGAACTCGCGCTGGTGGGCATCTTCAAAAGTCGAGAAGTCTATTGGCACATCAACCTTCTCAAAAGAGGCCCGCGTTGACAGCAGCGAGTCAAGATTGTACGGCGTCAAAGGCGCACAGGCATAGTAAACAACACTGGAGTCGCGCTCACCGGGGTGTTCACTGTCAACCATGTGAACCAGATCGCAATGCCAAAAGGCGAAGTCGCCGGGTCTAACCGGCGGAATACCCACAATAGCACGGTCGAGCCCAAGGTCAGGGTAGAACTCGTGGGTGGGCTTGAACTGGTTAAGCCCCGGCACAGCACCCGGGAACGTGGGCTGCGAGTCGTCAAAGGTACCGTTGAGGAAGAGTGGTCGCAACATCATGTATGCCATGCTGGCCTTGAGGCTGGGGAGCAGTCGCAAGGTGCCCTCTCCTGTTCCTGTGTGCGACAGAGACAGCCAACCCTGGAGACTTCGCCAGCAGCTACACTGCGTGCCGGTTTGGTAGAGGTCACTCTTGGCATTAACTCTATTATCAGCCTCCCAGCCATCCCAGTCTTGCCAGTTGCCGTCAAAGATGGCCTGGAAATTAGAGCGGTTAACAGGATCCTCCCATCGTTCTATGCTGCCGCTGTCCAGATGGGCAGGTAGCGTGTATTCACCCTCCTTGCTAGGATACCGGATCCGCATACGATCTGGGTACACGACCTGGCTGTCTAGGTCGATAGGAGTATTCTCATCGGTGACATGCCATAGCCTGGATACTGTCTGCATTGCTTCTAGTACCGCCGGGTGGCTACGAATCTGGACCTGCGGCCGCGTCCACCAGGTACTCCAAGAAGCGGGTTTGTGTTTCGGGTAACCCCCAACTTCAGGGTGTCGGCGGGTGTATTCCTTGAGCTCAGTCTCCCATGCCACGGCCTGTTCCTCCGGAATGACGTTACGCAAGATGACGCACCCGCGCTCGTGCACATGTTTGATGAAGTCAGGAGGCAGCTCGCCACCATTCTGGTGGATAACTCCAAAGTCAATCTCGGGTATGGATTTGGGGCCGGTCTTTTCGATGAAAGCAACCTCGTCCTTGAGTACTCTTAAGAGACGCTCATATGACTCGATTACTTTCAGCTTATTTTCTGCCTTTACCAGCTGCTTTTTCAATGTTGCGAAGCGCTGGTCAAGCAGCGGAGCCCTAAATTCTCAGTCAGCCCTCGAGAGCATTCATATCACGTAGAGGACAAGATGGCAAGGAGCTCACTTAGGTTGGGGCTCTGCAAACTTCAGGATCTGAGTAGTAGTAACAGATGGCGCCATTGTGCCTCGAGCAGGGGACGATGCCGGAGATAATGATAGCGAGAAGATAATAGTGACTTTGGCTAGTTTAGCTCCAGGCAAGACACGGCTCTCAAACCATCTATCACTTCTTGCTCAAAATATCTGCTCTTTTATGTGTATGCCATCTCATCGAGAACACATGGTCCATACAGTCCGTAGGCCGTTTCGGTGTCACCCGATCTCCCAAATGGTGGGTGGGTCCTATGCAAGTTGGCCGCGGGCATACAACGTATTACGGGGTAGACTATGTCCTAATCCGGCTGTTCGCCGCTGGGGAGTGAGGTTCGGAAGGGGGCCCGAATGTTTGTAGTAAGAAATGCGGGCATCACTTCCAATCATATTCAGCTGAAGTAGGTCAAAAGGGAATCACCAATCGCCTCCGTAATGTAAACGAGTGTATTGGCTAGGATCTAAGACATCGTTACAAGGATGGCGGGAAGTTTGCTTCCGGTATCTATCTACATGTATTCCTTCACTCTGTTGATAAGTTACCTGAGAGGAGTGCATATTGTCTCTATATCTGTATAAATGTAGGTTCACACCACAATGACGGAACCTAGTTGTACCTCATAGCCATCTTGTGACCATCCAACCATCTCTGTGAACCTTACCAAGCCTTCAGCAGGAAATCCCGAGCCAGTATGACGTCTTCTATGATCAAAGTGCCCTACACGGCTTTGTTCACGGAGATGACGGGCACTATGCTCGCCGTCTCTGCATACGCGTCGGTAAGACAGCCAGGATTTAAGAGGCCTTGTGCACCACCCAGCTAATAAATCAATTTAGATGGGAGGCTTGTCCTTTGGCATTGGTACGTAAGGTCATAGACCTCGAACAGAATCGGGCCGAGCAGACAGTTCGCCCAACTCTTGCGCAGATGTCTGACGTTTGACATCGCAGACTACAACTACTGGTCAGGCGTGCTCGGAATGAGCCAATTCGCCAATGACTTTGGCGTCTTTGACAGCAAGCAAGGGGAATACATCATTCCCTCGAGCTGGCAGTCCGCCGGCAGTGGCTTGCCCATTGCCGGGCTCGCCTTTGGCGCTCTCATAGCCGGCTTGGTTGGTGGCAAGCTGGGCCGCGTGCGGACCTTTCAGGTGTCAACCGTTCTGTCCCTCGCCGCCATCATCATTCAGGCCACGGCTGTGTCATCATACTGGCAGGTGGTCGTCGGCCGGACCGTCAACTCGATCGCCCTCGGCATCCTAGCCAACCTCGTCCCCGCTTACCAGGCCGAGTGCGCGCCGCCCGCGGTCCGCGGCACTCTCGTCAACTTTTACCAGTTTTCCTTGGCCGTCGGGGCGGTACTTGTCAACACGGCCAACTGGGGCATGCACGAACGAACGGACCAGTGGGCATATCGAACAGTGATCATATTGCAGTTTATCGTGCCGCTTGTACTGGGCCTTGGGTCCTTCTTCGTGCCGGAGTCACCTCGTTGGCTTGCCAGACAGGGTCGCGATAGTGAGGTGCTCAAGGTGCTTCTCATGCTGCGTAAGGGCGATGCCGAGTCATGCCAACAGGAACAGAATGCACTATGTGCGGCTGTCGAGAGCATGGATGCGCACCATGAAGGCAGTTGGCTGGAGTGTTTTAGGTATTCCACCATCCTCTTCAAATTCCCCAGTCTCGTTAAGCGCACTTGACCTCCTACTGCTGCCTGAACTCTATTCTGATCTTGTCTCTTGCGACATAGGGGAGCAAACCTGCGCCGGACTCTCATCGTTTCCGGCGTACAATGTCTGCAACAGGCCCAGGGCAACTCTTTCATGAGCAGTTACGCTGTCCTATTCCTTCGTAGCATGGGCGTCAAGAACGAGTACACCATTACTGTGCTGCTCGTGCTTACAATGACGATAGCGTGCTTCTTCGCCTTCTACTTCCCCGATTTGCTCGGCAGGCGATGGATCATGGCCTTCTCTTCATTCATGATGGCCGTGAGCATGTTTGTTGTCGCTGGAATTACTGGCTCTGACCTAGCTAGCCAGAAGGGCGGTATGGACGGTGCGTTGGGGATGCTGTTCGTGTGGTGGTTTTTTTCTTCTGTCGGTTGGAGCAGCTGGTAAGTTGTACAGCCTGAAACCTGAGCGACCCTCCATTAGATATGAAGAAAACCTCACTGACACCTCCTCGCTATCAGCGTCTGGATCGTCACAGCCGAAGTGCCCACACTACGACTCAGGGAGAAGACCATAACTGTGGGTTCCTTCACCGGCTTCTGCGTTTCCGTTCTCGTCACTTTTGTCAGCCCTTACATCCAGGACACGGGGTATGGAAATCTCCAGTCCCGCATCGGCTTCATCTACGCCGCCGTCAGCATCGTAGCCACTATTTGGTGTATGTTCATGCTCCCCGAGACCGCGTCTCGGACTTTGGAGGAACTTGATGTGCTGTTCGAGAATCGCGTTAGCGTCTGGCGCTTTGGATCGTATAAGATTATGAGCGGACCGGATAATCTCCCTGCCAGCGAGGGTGTGGAAGTGCTGGAAGAGTGCCAGAAGGTGAAGGAGAAGAAGTAGGTCGAGATACTGATTGAAACGCAGGTAAACTTCTAAGTTTTTACAATAGTCCTATTCCTATGTCAGGATCTACCTGATCTCGGCTTCGGCTTACCTATATAATGACATCACTCAAGTGGCGCTAGATCTATCTTTAGGACGTATACCTCAGAATCTAGTCACCTATCGAGACGCTAATAGGAATAATCGCCATAAGATAGTATTCAAGAGCCTACAGCCTATTGCAAATGAATTTTCCTGAAAGTCTTGAATGGTGTACTTATGTAAATGTTAGCTAACCTTGCTCTGTGAAGGTGTTTGGTCATGATCTTATCTGCTCTATCACTCGACTTCTCCAATCATTCTACAGAAACAATACCAGCCTGACGGTACCTCGCGTTATTAGTTCAAAGGACCCAATCTCAATAATTTCGTAGGTAAACAGCTGAGTGTCCGTCGAGATCCATCACCACGCTTCAGATGCCTTCCTGAGGACATATAGACTTCCAAAAATCGTTGTTCATTAGCTCATCTACCCAATCTCACCATGTTCCATGACTTCAGGCTACCCCGTGCCTAGCTTCCAAGCTAAACCCGCGACTATAATATGCAGCGGCGCTTAAAGTCCGCTCCCCCACAAATTGATATGTTCTATCGCTCTGAGGAATTCCTGGCTTTTCGGTTGAGCATGAGCCGGAGTTGTCGAAGTTGGGAGCGAGGGTATGAGATTCTGAAAGTGGGCTAACTCTTACAGCTCAGTCCAAGTTTAGTCCAAGTCTGCTGAAGCTTAGGGCTAGCACAGCTTAGCGCGGCGAGACCTCACCCTTGAAGACGGAAATGGACTTTGATACGCTTGAGTCTCGTCTCCGAGTATTCTAGTATTGTATGACCCGTACCTGAAGCTACAATAGCTCATAGGGGAAAGAATGTTCTCAACATTCTTCGAAATTGGTAATATTTCATTCGTTCAGAGAGATTGCAGGACGGTGGCAAATAAGACGAACTACATTATATTGAACTCTTTCGAAGATATTTCAGAAAGACACAATTCTTCTTGATTCTGCTATGGAATTATGTAGAACGATTCGATGTTGCTGGACGATGCTACAGATAGTGTTAGAATGCGCGGAAGACAACGATGTTTTCCCGTCCTAGACATACAGCCATACGAGAACCAGGAATCCACCACAACCTAGGTCCAATTAATGGATTGCATACTCATTTGAATTATTCGAATAGAATAGTCATGTAAAGATCATATCCATGATGGAAAAAATAAAAAAATGCAAAAAGACGCCCGGCCAGGGACTCGAACCCTGAACCTTCAGATCTCTATGGATCATAAAAGTCTGACACTCTAACCAATTGAGTTAGTCGGGCCTCATGGCTAGCAGAAAATTCCTGAGCTAAGACACTCGTATTTTGGCTTATTCTAGATTATACACGGGGAACGAAATTTTAGCTTCAGCATTCGACCATGCCCACTCTTAATTGACTGGTGCTCATACCTATTCCGAAAATTACTCCTTGGTATTCTCGTTTGACCAAATCTAAATCATGGGGTTTTTTCGGGTGTTCATGATGCAGGGATATATGCACTTAGTATGCTATAAGTAGGTAACGTTTGTCTTAGCAGAGATAACACGCAGTCTTGAGCAAGGTCCGATGCACTATTCCAAACTTTCTCCTATGTATAATATTCGAGCTTTCCCAGAACAAAAATTCTTAGGCAATCATTCTCAAGTGGCCAAGATATGATATAGCCGTGTTATTATTCATTCTCGTGCCCTATTGCTTTTGTTCCACCAATGGCCGAATAGTTCAAGGTACTCTAGAGGATGTTCAGAATCTTCCAGTAATTCGAGATCTCTTAATATTGAACGGAGCCAGTCATAAAACATATCTAATTACTGATTGGCTTCGACGTACGTATAAAGAGACATCGTCTGGGATGCATACCATTGAAAAGATCATAGAGATAGGCATCATAGTGATATCGAGATGCCGGAACTAAACAAAATATACAACGGATATCGACCGTAAAGGCATAAGGTATTCGAGAACACTCCCGTCATCGTTATAGAGGAGGTTGATCTCCAAATGCCTGGTTGACAAACCATCGTTTGAAGGGGCTGCTTGCGTACTTTATTTTACTCCATTCACACCCGTTTTAGACCAGGAGGCTAGAGAAGCTGGCTGCGTCTGGATGCTTTTAGTAGAAACTTCCCTGGTCACTGCGCCGGTGCATCTGCACTAGTTTTAAAATCTCGGATGCGGCAAGCCGATTCAAGTCATCACGAAGCCTTATACAGGCGACACTAGCACTGAAGGGTGGGCAAGTTGTGTCAGGGGGTAAGAGGTAAAAGTACCTTCACGTCAGCCACATGGCATAAATATTACGAGAGCGCGAGCATGGAAGATGCCAGTAGTGCTTGCCAGGAACCTCTTGTAGCCCACAAAGCGCCGAACTTCTTGCGAGACTGCACTAAGCACTAGGCGAAGAGATTTCCCAGTGGAGGAACCGGTGCATCAGCACTCGTGGTTGTTCCTTGCCAAGTTTGATCTTGGTGTCGAGTCCGGCCAGCTTGGGAAATACAGTGATTTCCACAATGTGGAGAGAGGAAACCGTCAAGACGCTGGAGTGCGTTGGTAGCGTCACGAATGCCCCTGTCCAGATCACCAGCATTCGGCGGAATAGGCTCCACCTTCGGCAAATACCCTCTGGATCGGGGTCGATCGCCTCAAGTAGCTGGAGCTTGGCATTCCGTAAATGCAACGGCTGGACGGTGCACGGCACTTCTATTTCCAGGCCGGACAACAGACAGGCAGTACATATGAATGTCCTATTAGCGAGTGTTTGCGCGGTTTTAAGCGGCCTCTTCCTTGTGAAACTCACATGCGACGCGGCTCTGATTGTCGATATTAATGCATGGGGTCGCTGAGCTGAGAACATGGGCCCTTGTGATCTGCCCGAGGATTAACCAAACCCTGCTGGCCCGCCCTGCCTTGCCTGCCTGGGCCAGCGCCACCGCACATGCTTGACAGGGAGACATGATTCAGCCCAGCAGGCCATTTCCCACGAGATCTACATTCCTACCTGGTAAGGTGAATCGTAGGCAAGGGGTGGCCCCGACAAGTGCCCGTGATGTGGGGGATCAATTGGCTCGATTATCGGGCAACAGAGGCAATAGATTGAAAACCCATGCAACGGCATAATTATCATCATCATCATCACTGCCAATTTCCTCCCTCCAAGAAAACGGAGGCTGGCCGGAGGAAGGGAGACGATGACTAGCAGACTCTGACAGTCTGATATTGGTCTTTGCTCCGGTGCCAGCGAGATGACGCGCTGTATTTTATGTAAACTTTGCATCCCAGAAAAACTATGACCGCCACTAGAGGCGCACAACACCGGGCATCATTGGCTCTTCAGCCGTCCGAGAGCCCAAAGGCCCACCTGACTCGACAATTTCCTCTGTGTGTCGAACGCTGTAATTTACCACGACTCTGGGGAAAGCTTCTGATGAGACACTCCGTCCTCGCTAGCTTGAATCAAGGGGGGGTTCCACCCTCCTCGAGGTGGCTGCGGCCTACGGGCGGACCCTCGTATATACCATGTGGGCAGCCCCTTGACTTGACCCAAACCCCTGGATTCCTCCTCAACCTGCACCTGTAGTCCATTCCATCCTGCAAGCCGCCGGCACAGATTGCGGAGGTGGTGGACGACAATCCCGTTCTCCGGCCAGCAGCAGTAGCAGTGTTCGTGGAAGCTGCATGCTCTGCAAGGGTGCTTTGAGCCTGCAGTTGTGATCATGAATCCGCGACTCGCGTGGCTGGTTTATTTTCTTGGGTTCTTCCATGCAGCCTACGCACAGGATTCGAGTTCTGGCTTATCGGCATTGGCCGAGTTGCCAGTGTGTGCAGTAAGCCTTTCGATATCACGAAGTCCTTGACACAAGATCTGATCAATGCCCTAGCAAACCTGTCTCGCCGCAGGATTAAATACAACTTCATGTTCGGCCACCAACTTGACATGCCTTTGTACCGATGTACCTTTCCTCGACACAGTAACACTATGCGTTACTCAGAGTTGCACGATCAGGGAGGCACTCTGTAAGAATACTCCATGAACGTGGCGGTCAGTCTCATCAAGTCTCTAATCTCTTCACAGTCTCGAAGAACGTCACCGCAACAGCTTGCGACGCCCCAATTCGTGACAAGAGCCAATATTGCAAGACCGTCGGCATCGCATTGGGCGTCATTTCCGCAGTTGTCGTCGTCTTGCGTCTTGCTTTCAAGCTCTTCGTCGTCAAGTCAGGTCTGAAGCTGGATGACTGGTTCATCCTCGCCACTCTCGTAGTTGGCATTCCTGGCACGGTTATTCTTGTCGTCGGCACGATCGGCAATGGGCTGGGCAGGGACATATGGACGCTCCCATTCCACCAGATCTCGGTGTTTGTCAAATTCTTCTTCGTCATGGAAGTGCAGTATTTCATCGATATCGCACTCCTCAAGCTCAGCCTACTATTCTTCTACCTCAACATCTTCCAGTTCTCCAAAGTGAGGAAGTTCCTATGGATTACGATAGCCATTGTCGTTCTCTGGGGAATAACATTCGTCATCGTTGCGTTTGTACAATGCTCTCCCCTCAGCTTTTACTGGACCAATTGGGACCACGCGCACAAAGGAACTTGCCTGAACATCAATGCCATTGGATGGGCAAACGCTGCCATCAGTATTGCCTTAGACCTGTGGATGTTAGCGATACCCCTATCCCAGCTTCCTGCCCTAAATCTTCACTGGAAGAAGAAAATCGGCGTGGCATTGATGTTCTGTGTCGGGACATTGTAAGTTCAATACCTCCATCGCCATCAGAACATCTTACTAATTGCAAACAGTGTCACTGTCGTCAGTATCCTACGGCTTCAGTCCCTCGTCCACTTTGCAAACTCGCTCAATCCAACATGGGACAACTTTGATGTATCCCTCTGGTCCGCAACGGAGCTCAACGTGGGTATCATCTGCGCGTGCATGCCCTCCCTCCGTCTCATGCTTGTACGACTATTTCCCACTCTTGGAAGCTCGGCAACGCGCGGCGGCCAGTACGACTATCGCAACCAGTACGGAAGTGCGCAGTCGAGAGGTCGAAACTTAGGGCAGAGCATCAACACATCGGCTCATGTCACGTCACGACATGATCGAAACGAAAGCAACGATGGCAATCCGGAATGGCCTGGCGCCAGAGGTGGCATCCATTATCAGCGGTCGTTCAACGTCCAGTACGGCGAGAGCGAGAACGACGAGGCGAGACTGGTGGAAATGAATGATCTGTACGGGAAGGCCGGGAGTAAAGCTATGAGTAGTGCTAGCGAAGTGTCTGGATAGACGTAATCACGATGTATATAATATTTGGATTATTAGATCACGATTTGACGAGTTTTTTTTTCCCCATGGAATACCGAAGGTACCAGGATGACACTGAGAGCCATATCCATAAGAGATCAGTTACTCAACCAAGAAGATTCTGTAGGAGACAATCTGGTCAACAAGGATTTTGATAATCTTATAGTTTACTATAATCGTTAATGCCAAGATCAGTGGAGGGTGCTTCAAGACCCAAACTCTCAATGAACCTTTTCAAATACCTGATCCTGAGTCTCGGTATCATCTATCTGCCAGCGAAGTGCATCAACATTCATGTTATTCCAAAGAAATTGGATCTTATAAAACCAGTAAGGCCTACACCATTGGCCACGGTTGACCACTTGGTCAAAGGATTCATTGAAAACGAATGTCTGTTCGTGGTAATAATGAAGCCTATACATCTCCTCGTCTCGGCCCTGAAGTGACATGCTCAATTCGTCTCTGTCTCTATTCTTTTCAACAGTAACGACAATGCAGAACTGGCGAGACTTGTGTAGGAATGTTCCTGTGTAATCTTTCAGACTGCCAGGGGGGTTGCCAGGTAGCTTTTCCTTATCCAGTCTGGCCTGTACATGCTCCATCGCAGAGCGTCCTTGCTTCGCTGATGCATTGACATATTTGATGAAGGGAGTTGTGATGTGTGCAAAGAGATACGCTTCGGTCAAGGCCTGGGCGGTCCAGTCAGTGGCATCACAGTGACCTAGGGCATTGCCTAAGACGATGAAACCGCACTCAGATTCTGGAAGGATGTACACTGATGATGAACAGCCAATGTTGTTGCCACCATGATGCAAGATCAATGGGGCATTCGATGTGTCGCCCAAAGTTGGATATGCGTCTAGAAGACCGGAATTGCCGCTGAGTTCGCTCATATGATTAGGCAATTGGGTACGGGCCCAGCCCATGCCATATGACTGCTCTCGGAGTGAACTTGTATTATGAAGTGGAATCGTTGCCTCAAATATAGCACTTAGCTCGTTCACGAGAAAACTCAGATCGTTTGGCATGGTTCCTATGTTGATGGGTCTAAATTTGAGAAGAAGAGCGGCATAGAATATCATGAGATCGTGCAGGCAACTGCGGATAGCGCCCGCAGAGAATGCAACAGTGTCGTTAGCAATGCGCGGAGGTGGGACTTGACGAAGTTGTAAGTTGTAGTAGGGAATATATGCCTGGGCTATGTTCTCGTCCAAGATTGATGGGAGCTCGGTGAACGTCCGATTCATGCCCAGAGGCTTGAAAATACGCTGCCTGAGAAAGTCGCCGTACGACATAGATGAAACAGTCTCAATGACGCATCCTGCCGCATGATATCCAAAGTTGTTGTAGATAAAATCCTGACGTAGTGGATGACTTGCATTCAAAGACTCAAAGACAACTGTCCCTTGATCTTTGGTAAGAAGAAGCTGGTTATCTGACCCAACAAAAAGCGCGTCTGATCTAGATAGGCCTGTGCGATGGCTCAATAAGTCTCGAACGGTGTATTCCCCATTGCGATTTGATCGAAGATCACACAAATAGGTATCGATTCGGTCGTCCCAATGAATCTTTCCGTCAGCTACAAGACAGGCCATGGCTAGTGCTGTAAATCCTTTGGACATGGAGCCAATGTTGAACACAGTGTTTGCATCTGGAGGTAGTCCCCTGCTGATATCTCGGTATCCATGGTAGGTATCAAGGACTTTTCCACTTCGATCGAAGATTCCGATTGCAAGCCCAGGGGTCCCAGAATGAGAACAGATTTGACGGAGAATCGGTTTGACTAGATGGATGGTATCTTCAAGAGTAGTAGACTTCCGGGAGGAGCCGCTGGGTTTCGAGAGTTTGGTCATCATCCAGCACAGGAATTCAGTCATGGGCCTGGAATAACTCGCCGAAATTTACATAAAGGGATACGACTGAGCCAGGTTAGGTAATTCAGCAATAGAGTAATCTATTATGCTGATAATGAAGTTGGTAAAGATATTAGAGGAAGATTGTCTCGCAGCTCGTCATGGGAGGTGGTGGGGTTTGAGTTCACGAACACGTAAGACAATCGTGAGGTGGTGCACAGACTGACCATAAATTACCTGAATGAACATGACCATCTAAACTTTACCAGACTTTCCCCTCAGAAATTTGTCAATCTCCGGAGCCAGAATTCCATGAACGTGACTTGTCCTAAATATGTTTAGTATCGAAGGAAGAATATTAGTTCAGGAAGGGAAACTTACATATGACCACTGTTGAACCAGAAATATTGATCTAACGGTACAGGACAGCCATATTTCTCCCAATCCGTGAGGACATCAGCCTGAAGATAGCCAGCGCAGTAATTGGTCGTGTTAGTGATTCCATATTTCCTAGGATTATCCAGCACGCTATTTAAGAAGGTGTTTGCATCAAACACCATGGTAGTAACATCTGAATGCGTCGAGGCGAAGTCCTCGCTGTATCGTGCCAGTGTGTCATCCCACCATCCGATCATGGTGCGGTTCGGCAGCGGTTCTGCCTTTAATTGGTTGCTAGGCGTCCTGTCAAGAGGTGGGAGGTTGACAAAAAGGAAGTTGTAGTAGCCCGCTTCGTACAAGGGTTTGACAGACTGAGAGAAGATGGCGGAGATAATCGAGTTGTAGAAATCAGGGAACGAGACATTGTATTTCGCACTATCGTTTATATCGTTGATGCCGATCCATATGGCAACTAGTGTTTTTGAAGGTTTCACGCATAACTTGTGCTTGAATACAGGCTGGCCATATGTAAGAAACTGCTGCGTTTGGTTGACTAGTGGAATGGTATAGTCATGATGTAGTGGAGTACTATGGGTGTCAGATCAGCACTGTCTTTTTCAGCCAGTTCAGTACGACTCACAACTCCTCGGACACATCAGCGCCAGCAAAAGCAAAGTCCCACAGTTGAAGTTTGCATGATGTTGGCGACGTTAAGCCGGGCTCCAAGCCGCATCCTGTCAGATATTCAACCCAATTCGGCCCGCCTTCTGCTGTTCCTGTAAAGTTCTGGACAATTTGGTCCGAGAGGAGATCTGTTGATGTATAACTGAAGTTTCCAGGTAGATAATCTCCTATAAAGCTGAAGTTTTGTCTCCCGTGAGTTCCTTGTACATATGTGTACGAATCACCGAAGGCTATTCTACCATATTCAACGACTTGTCAGAACGACACATCAAAGCTCATTCTGTGCAGGTAAATTACTAACAGATACTTGGTATCATCCCAATTGAATGGAACTCTTGAACTAGGTGCAGCATATACAGAAGCAAAGACTGACAGGCCTTGCAACGTCAGAAGGCTGACATTGCTAAGCCTTGACGATTGGAACATCGTGGGCAACAGACGTGATCAAACTGCAAAAGTACCGAGAACACCCGCCAGAAGCTCATCCAGCGGCAATCACAGTGTATATAGCAACATTTCGAATAGTGCAGGCCATGATGGCGAATTTTGGGGTAAAAGGTGGCATTGTAGTCTTCTATTGGTGGAATTTGTGATTTTTGTATTTATCCTAGCTTGAGAGCTGCTCTACCCCACAACTTGCTCTCCACGATGTGTCTGCTCCCCGCAGAAGAACAGATCCGGGAATAGAGTCATTCGGCGGTGAGGAGCCTCATAGTAACATTGTCAATTTACTACAGAGCATAGCTCTACCACACAGTCGACACCGATAGTTCTACTTCATTGGAGACACTTCGGATTTAAGCGCGGCTCAGGGAACACTTCAATATGCTGTCAGTGAAATTCCAACAGTATACATGTAATATAATCTAGAGAGTCACCATAGTCAGGCTCAAGTATCAAGTCGCTGACGCCAGTGGCTAAGCATTTGTAGATGTGCTCGATGTCGAATGAGTACCTGGGAAGCTGGGCTTTGAGAAGACTGATAGATACGGGGCGTGCACTTATCCTTGTCTGATCCCACCCCACCCCTTAAGGGGCACCCCCACCTCCCCTAGCAACCAGGTCCCTGAAAGTAAACACCCCAAAATCTGGGATTTGAGATTACAGTTATCGCAGCGAGCGCACATCCACACCGGAAAACGAGCCTATCAATCAACACACGATGGCGAGCGTAGAGAAGGACAAGTCAAAGGTGCATAAGCTGTCGCTGAAAGGCAGCGCAAAGCTTGTTGCCGAATTCGTGAGTGCCTACACATTGCCTTCGTCTGGATGGCTGTGATCAATTGAAGTTCTCGTGAGGCTAATCTCCATCTCGATTACAGTTCCAATACTCAATACACACGATCTTGTATGACCGACTCCTGCCCCGATGATTGCCCCGACGGAAGACGATGCAGCGAACTAATGCTCACGATCACAGGTTCCAGCGAGGCGTCTACCCCGCGGAGGACTTCACCGCCGTCAAGAAGTATGGCCTGAACATGCTCGTTTCGTCCGACGACCAGGTCAAGGCGTACATCAAGAAGATTATGTCGCAGCTGGACAAGTGGATGGTCGGCGGCAAGATCTCGAAGCTTGTCATCGTCATCACGAACAAGGACACGGGCGAGCACGTCGAGAGGTGGCAGTTCGACGTCCAGATCTTCGGCGGCAAGTCCTCGTCGTCCAGAAGCAAGAGCTCGAAGGCCGTGGACCAGGAGAACGTCGCGCCGGGGTAGGTGGCAATTCCCCTTGCACACTTCCCTTTGCCTTCCCCCCCATGAACACAGCACTGACAGATTGGTTTCGAGCAGAGCGCAGCCTTCTTCGCCCGCACCCGAAAAGACCGAGGCCGAGATCCAGGCCGAGATTGCCGCTATATTCCGACAGATCACTGCCTCCGTGACGTTCTTACCGCAACTAGCAGGCGACTGCACGTTCAATGTGTTGGTGTATGCCAATGCTGACAGCGAGGTGCCGGTGGAATGGGGCGACAGCGACGCCAAGGAGATTGTGAACGGAGAAAAGGTCCAGCTCCGAGGATTTAGCACGACGAGTCACCGGGTAGACACATTGGTCAGTTATCGTTTGGCCGAGTAGGCATCAAGAGAGTCCAAGAAGGTCGTCAGGGAGCATAATTGGGATCTTTGGGGAGCTTGTATATCTACATTGATATTTGGTGTCACGGTGTTGAGGAGTTAACATGAGAAATATATGACCATCGTATTTGCATTGACAAACGCACTTTGCATTACAACACCTCGGCATTGGTTTGACAAGGTGACTGGTCATTGTTCAAAAAACAAGTTGAACTGGAGCAAGGTTTGTTATTCATTCAGCAATGCCACGCCGTCCTTAGCGATCTATGTTTTGCTTTTGGTCTGTCTACATTCACAATACCCCCAAGCTTCGCGACTCGTGCAACCCGACTCCGCTCATATGCTTCTGCTCAGTCACCAACCCCGGAACATGCCACAGCCTTTAATAATGTAAATGTAGCCGTAACTCCGCCGATCATACGCGCCTGAAGAAGTAGACATAGGCAAACTTCTTCATCTCGTCTACATTATCCGTCTCAACGACCTTCTCGTCGTTGAACAGGACCCAAGAGACCCTGTCGCCAAGGTTTTTGCGAATGAAAGCAACGTAGTGACTATGCAGCGTTAGAAAATGGGGTCACGCAGAGGCAAAAAGACTGAAAAACGTACCCAGCATGGATGCTTGTGCCCTTGTGACAGACAATGCTTTGCAGCTGGAACTTGGCAGGCAGTTCCGCACTCCCAACAAGCGCAGCATCCGTCGGGGCACCACTCGCCGCACCGCCAGCCTCATCATCATCAAAGATGCCTTGCTCATCAGGATGGCTGAAAAGCCACTCCACAGCACGCTCAACATCTCCTCCTGTCTCCTTGAGAGCCTTCTTAGCTTGAGGTGCACCGAAACCCATAGCACCTAGCATCTCGATCTTCTCCGGATCAGCAGTGCTACCTCCCGCCGCACTGGCACCGCCCAAGTCTAATGGGGTATCGATATCAGGATCCTCCATGTGGCCAAAGAGCCACTCCATGGCTGCATTTGCATCACTGTTGCCAGTGGCGTGTAGTGCTTTCTCGCACCTTACCTTGGGGAATCCCATGCCCTCAAGTTGTGCGAGAGCCTCCTCGTTGGGCTGAAATGCCGGAGCCGAAGCTGCCTCCTCGGGGAGGGCTTCCTCACCAGGCTGCTGACCTTTGGAAAGATAGTCGTCCAGGAGGAAAGGTTCGTCGTCAACAAGCACCGGTACGTCAACCTTGATCTCCACCCAGTTGACCACAGCCATACGTCGGGCATTGACAACCAACACATCGGGGAATGTCTTGAACAAGGATTTCTTGGTGTATCCATCCTTGGAGCCACAAGAGGAGCACGTGAGTTCGACTACCTCCTCCGCCGTAAAGTCGTCAAGACACTGCTTGAAAGTGACGGGCTTCCACGCCGGCGCGGCGTCTTCTTCTCCCTCTTTAGCAGCTTCCTTCTCCATAGGAAGAATGACCATGATGTTGTCCTGCTCATTGCTCGAATACCGGACCTTTTTGCAGCTGCGGCACTGTAGGCGTTGCTCGAGTACGAACCTGAAAGGTGTTGTAGGGTCGACGGCGGGTGGTGAATGTTTGGATCGGGTGACGAGTTTAACTAGATGTTGGAAGAGCTCGAATGCGTCCTGCTGGCGCATTGTAGAGAACTCTGGGTGTCCTCTGCCGATGAGATGCTTGAACATTGACGGGGCGAGTCCCTTTTGGTGAGGAATCTCAGGGGAGTGTTCCGAGGCAACAATATCAGAATCAGGCTTCGAGTAGCGACCAGATAGGAGACCGTCGGCGAGCTTGCGAAGCTGCGTCTCCAAGTCTTCGGCAGGCTCCTCAATGAGAGGCAGGTCTTCACTGGTCTGGAAATAGCGCTTCTGGAACGAGGGCATGTCGAACAGACACTGCAGCATACTGGCAAGATAGCAGCTGTTTCCCAGATTCTTCAACCCGGTTAGACCTGGCCCAAATACCGGCTTCAGCTCCTTTCCATCCTCGGTAGTCATAGAGAATTCCCATTTCAGGTTCTGTTCGATTTGCATCTCAGTCAAGCTCTTCTCCGTCTTTTGACGCTCCGCAATGTTGATGCCCCAGTTTGCAAGATGCGTCGCAAGCGCATCGTCGATCCGCTCGTCATCGCAAGTATAACAGTATACATCCGCCGTACCCTCCGCACTGATAGAACCAAGCTTGACAGCAACGCCGTGTCCAGACTCTTTGGCGTGGGCAAGAGCATGGGAGTTTCCTCCGACGCCGCCAAACTGGGCTCGACCGCAGCCGAGGTTCCCGCACTCGAGACAAAGCCATAGATTCTCGTTCAACTCACACATGGAGCAGTGGCCTAGATCCTGGCCCTCGATCCTCCTGGGTTCTCCTTGTTGCATTGTCAAGATGTGCTCGCATGATGTGAGTTCTTGCTCCCAGGCCTTGACCTCCTCCTTCCGCGAAAATGTGTTCGCCGTCATTATGCCATCGATGACAGGGGCCAAGCTGGGGTGGGTTCTGTCGAGCTCGGTGTTGCAGTCGAAGCACTTGACGGATAGAGCTGTCTCGTAGCGATCTTCTTCGGTCTCAGCCGCAATGGCGAGCTTGGACATCTTCGCGGGGGGTTCATCTCGAACCACTACTTTGCGAGTTCGCTTAATGTTGAGGGCGATGGGGTGGCTTCGGAAGGCATAGTGGAGGTTCGAGTGGTGTCGGTCGCCCGCGCAGCCACCGTTGAAGCACTGCAGGCAAACGTCAAGACCGGCGGGATCATCCTATAACCAGAGCCGTTAGACCTTCAAGCCAGAGGCAGTTCAGAGAAGCCGGTCCATGAAGCTTACAATTGAGTCGAAGCACTGAGTGCAGTCCTCGCGGTAGACTGACTGGGAGGGTGTGGGTGCCCGGAGAGCTGCAGTCGGACAGTTAGCACAGGCGATCTTTCTGAAGCTGAAGCTGGGTCGGAGCTCTAGCGGCAAGCTCTCCTTACACAGGGACTCAACGTGGGGACACGCCATGGTGGTGGAGGATGGAGGATGAAGACTTGATAGCGCAGTCTGGCGCAGTCGCGGTCTAAGAAGGGAGACTGCCTTAAGAAGGTCTGAGTGTCGTGACTATCGAGGGTTTGGTTTGGTGTTTTGGAGGTGGGAATTCGAGACAACAACTCCAAGGCGTGGAGGCAAGGCTGCTAGAATCCAGCTCCAGGCTGCGAGGGGCAACATGCGAGGCGGGAGTGGGTGCCCCGCGCTGACGCACTGCCGTAGCACCTGGCACCTACCTACCTAGGTCGAGACACGAGAGCTCTAGCGTTGCCTAACATGTCAGCACATCCTACAGCAGGTAATGTGATAAAGAGAGATAGGTAGGTCGGTCCGTCTCACCCCACAGCCGGGGGACACTGAGCTCCCATCCCCCTCCCAGGCAGTCACCCTTTCATCATCGCAGCAGGTGAAACTGGGATGCACACGGTCATGTTTCGATGCTTTTACACACGCTTGCTTAGTCGCTTGCGTGCTCTGGATGGCGTTGCAGGTCACGGTATCAGCACGCACAATGGCCAGACTTAACCGACGATAGCCTCGATAGCTTTCACTGAGAGTTGCTCGTTTACGTTAGTAATTGAATATGTGGGGAGTCACCTTGCATTCCCCGAGTTTTACTGGCAGCCAGAGTTATCAGATTCTTTTTTGCCCTTGGCTACGTATGAAGGCTAGGCTTGTCCCTTGATCTTATCTCCGGCACGGTCGCGGGGGAATTTCCCAGCAGCTCTCCTTAGCTCTCTCCGAGCGCCGAGGTCGCTATGATTTCATCTCAGCGCAATCGCCCCTCTGATTGGCTGGATATCGTATTACCGAGATCGCTTGCCACTTCATTGGCTCGGTTGGCTCTTTCAGAAGTCCCGCACCTGCCGTTACAAACCTCAATGCACTTCTTTTTATTTGCCATCCCCGTCCAGCGTCATTCCTAATCACCGAGCCAAACCCTTGACGCATCCATCTATAATTTTTTCAACCCTCTCCCTCTGCGAACATTCAGAAATACAACTCGCGAATTCCCGATTTATCGCAACTACCCTCAGATCCATCATCCACGATGCTGTCACGATCACTGCGCGCCGTCTCGCGACGAGCTCTCTCTACTCCTCTCCGCCCAGCCATCTCCGCGGCACCGCGACAGCTCGCACCGGCTGCTTCCATCGGTGCGACTCGTGCATACCACGAGAAGGTCCTCGACCACTACTCCAAGCCGCGCAATGTATGTCATTCCTTGTGTTTCTGTTCTTGATGGTCAATACTGACGCCGTCGCTCTAGGTCGGCTCAATGAACAAGAATGACCTCGATGTTGGAACCGGCTTGGTTGGCGCACCCGCATGTGGCGATGTGATGAAGCTCCAGATCAGAGTCGACCCCAGCACCAAGACGATCTCTGATGTCAAGTTCAAGACCTTTGGCTGCGGTTCTGCCATCGCCTCGTCCTCATATCTGACCGAGCTGGTACGGGGCATGACTCTGGAGGAGGCTGGCAAGATCAAGAACACCGAGATCGCAAGGGAGCTTTGCCTACCGCCTGTGAAGCGTAAGTCTAATATCCTCATCAAGAGTTATCCGCCTTTGTTTATTATTCGCTGCTATCATGAACAACATGCTGATATCATCCCTATAGTCCACTGCTCTATGCTTGCCGAGGATGCCATCAAGTCCGCAATCTCCAACTTCTACTCCAAGAACCCCAATGCAAAGCCTACCAACCTGGGAGGCACCGAGATGAAGATCCCGCATGCTGAGCCCGCTGCTGCTGCCACTGCGGCCGCCGCTTGAATGCGGCATCGCGGGACTTGATTACAAATTGTTATCTCACGGCGTTTACCAGGCTTTTGGAGTTTGAGGCTATCAGGAATATAGTCAAGGGTGACTATTCTACCATTACCGATGTTTGAGAAACACCTCAATTTGCAAGCTACGGCGGCTGCTGAAGGCACCGGGTGGGTGGAGGGGAAGAATGAAGAAGCATGTTCCGAGATTGATGGTGGAAGACTAGCTACGGCTAAGCAGTCTACGCTCGCTAAGGAGATCCGGTGTGGAACGAGAGTGTAAATTACCATACCACTTTCCATTCTAAAAGAATTGAGACACGCTCCTGCGGATCATGCTCCAGCTGATATGGTCGTCCAGATGTGACCCATCAGCCGGGCCATTGCCATAGAGATCCATACTCATTTAGTCGTATCTCGCTTGAGTCGTCATTTGACTAGGGCACAGTCATAAATCCATTTTATTTTGAAAGATATATTAACTTGGGCGGACTTTCAAAATCCAATCGCCGTGTCCTGGCTCTTTCCCTTAGGGACACCGCACCACGCGCGCTCAGTAGCAGAACCCGGTGTGCTTGTATAGTGTACAATAAAGTTGCAGCCCAAGTCCGTCGTTTTGCGCAGAGTTTCCATGGACAAAGTGACGAGAAGTATGCATACATCTAGCTTCATAAACATTGGAGCGGGTAAAGTCGCAATCCGTGGATCGCAGTTGACCAGTTGGCGATGTGCATTTGGAATTCAGTCTTCTCGTACTACAAAACGAATCCCGCAATTCTCTTTGTCGACTTGAAATCTAAAAGAGCCAGACACAGTATCAAGTGCGTCCCGAGGAGCTCGCAATCCGGCACCAAAATTAGCAAAGATATTCCTGGCCGAAGGCACTATGAACAGCGGCACCCTCCAGAGTAATTGCTTTTCAAGTAGAATTTAGCACAATTCATGCCTCGTTCCTTACGACGAACCTCTATTCATTAATCTAGGTTCGAATGGAAGCTGGCTAGGCTTGTACCACACTCTGGTGAGGCGCTGGATTCGCAGTCTCAGCTACAAAAGCTTAAATACTTCATATCGACATACCTTATCCTTTCACAAAGTTAACAATGATTTAGTTCTCCAAGAGTAGTTCTTGGTTCTGGACCCTGGTGATTTAAAGCGTAACGGAGACACACTGCACTTGGCGACCTGTGCGATTTTATTCCATGTAGCTTGATCAAGGGCATTTTTTCTCGGATGTTGTGCATCTCGGAATCCAGTGTCATCCTCACACCCACTTGCTGACAGGCCAAAACCAGGTGGCTCAGGTGTTTTCAAAGACTTTCCCCGGACTCCATCGACATCGCAAAAGTCAAATGAACCGCGAATCAATTCTGCGAATAGCATTCCGTATCCGTTACTATCCGTCACCCAGTGAACGTTTGAAGAGGGCAGTGCTGGCATCTCCTGCAGTAGTGTCTGGCCCCTTCTGCCGTGTTCATTGTTCCTGCCTCCGTGGCCCCCGCGACACGGGACCTCCTGCGCCTCGAACTCGGGAATCGAACACGGCGGATGATGGCTTTGGGGATATTGTAAGACATCCATCTCATCTAGACAAAGAGGATCCCGAGGCTCCTCCTCGTGTTGGGCGACACGAAGAGGCAGTCCATCCATCAACCTTCTTTGAGCGTCGAAGTTTGCGAGCGAGCGAGCGCGCGCAAACAGGAGCAGCATGTAACGTCTTACGAGGCGTCGCCTGTTCTGGCCTTCTCAGTGCCTCCAGAATGGGCCAACGGTTTACGGCATCGCCAAAAGGGGCCAGGGATAAGACACTCAGACACCCAATCAGTGGCGGATAAGCGCCTGTTTACTTGCATCAGCGGTCGCCGAGAATAGCAAAGCCTCCCTTGTGGCTAGCTGACCGCATGCGTCTGGATATTTTTTTGGCCCTTTCGTCGCTTTGGTGGGCAATTCCAGGTGTGGCCTATCTGGGCATGTCTCGTCAGCAAAGCAGCATTAGCCTATCACTCTCGTCAATTCGCCCTGCGGCCGCACGGTAAGGGATGCCGCTTGAGGTTGCAGGTGTACTATGCAGTATGTACGGTTCGCCTTCGTAGCGGGTAAAAAGTGGTGAATAGGGCCGCACACGTCCTAAATAACGTTACCTACTTGCCTACTTGCCTACTTGCCCGGGTAGCTGAAGGAACCGCAACCCCCAGTCAGTCCAGTCAGCGTGCCAATGGCTCTACCATAATTACCCTTGCCTGGCCTGACCTGCAGCAGTTCGGTCATCCCATCGTTCCTCCCTGCTTCTCCTGATCCTGCTTGCTTCAGAGAACCCTTTTTTTTCGTTCCTGTCGCATCATCACACGACCGCTGCGATGCAGCGAGATTGTCTGCCTGTTCCGCACGCCATCTGCGCTTCTTCAATTGCACGGCGCCGCTGATACTCCCCGCTCCCCTCAAGCACGAGCGGACTCCCGAGAATCAGCAGTCGGAGCGGCGCAGCTCATCCGCCGGGTCGCGGGGCAAGCTTGTTGACGTCAACTGAATCGACCGGCCCTGCCAGCCAGCCAGCATTCGCCATGTCGCGCAGGAAGGGTGGGTTCTTTGGGTGGCTGCGCAAGCTCTTCTCCCGCTCAAAGAGCCCAGAGCCCGCAACGCACTACTACAATGCGCAGTCGCCGCCGGTGCAGCAGTATCATCAGCAGCACAACCAGTACGCACAGGGATACTATCCACCGTCCGGATACAGCCATGAGCAGTCCGCCTTCCACCAGCGCGCAGACGAGATTGCCCAGATCCAAGTCGCGGGGATGCGCAGGACGGCCGGCGGTGGATACGTGCACGCCTATGCCAATAGGACTGCGGGTCCGGATCCAGACGCGATAACCTCGCGGCCGTATGATCAGACGACTGTGTCGTCATATGGGACTAATGGCAAGGCCTGGGGCGAGGATAAATATGAGAAGCAGCCGGGCGCCGACAGCGCGTGGAGGGGGAAGCCTATTGGCAAGCAGTACGATCGACGAGAGGAGCTTACAGAGGAGGATGAAGACATGTGGGCACGCATGGCAATGTAGTTTGCCTGACCGCGTCTCTTGCGCTACTCATTCGATAATATGGGAGTGAGGGCCGATCTAACGGACTAGTAAACAGAGCATTCGAAAGCCGATATGGAGTCATATACGCTACTACGAGGTGGATAATGTAAACTAATGTGCTGTTGTTGAGCATCAAGCATCTGAAAGGAAAGACCATACGCGAGGAGACCTGTTGAAGGAACTCGGAACATCATAAGATATCTGACACAGAAAAACAAGGCAAAAATTCATTACCCGTTAAAACATGATACGGACGGCTTGAAGATGCTCCCGCTACTCAAAAGTCTTCCGGTTCGCTAAGGAGCTTCTCTATGAGCGCCAATCCCTCTTCGAACCTTGGCTTGTCGCCAAGAGTCAAACGGATGTAGCCTTTGAAATCATCTAACCCTTCATCACTAAAACACTGACCTCCTGGAATTACTGATACTCCATATTTATCAACGAGCTGGTTACAGAATTTCAGATCGTCCACTGGAGTTCCGTCTCTGTTCAGGATGCGGATAAAGGCGGTGCCTGCCCCTTTTGGTGCAACCCAACTACATCGACCGGCATTTCTCTTAACGAATTCATCGAGTGTTGCAATGCGGGACCGACAGCCAGCCAGGTTCCGTTCCAGAAGCTGTGGCAACACATCCGGGCCGAGTGCAAAGGCTGCAACGCCTTCGTCGAGTTGAGACATGAAATTCGTCGTATAGTCCATCGCAGTGATCACTTGCTCCAAAATCGCTGGGTCCTGGGAGACAACCCAGCCAACACGGATGCCGGGAAGACCATATGACTTGGAGACAGAGCCGGTCGAGACGCTCTTCTTGTAGCCGAGTGATACCAACGGGGGAGGTGGCGGGTCGCTTGTGTGGAATAGGGGACTGAAGACCTCGTCTGCGAACACCAGGATGTTGTGCTTCTCGGCAAGCGCTAGGATCTCTTTCAAAACATTGTCCGGAAGCACTGTGCCGGTTGGGTTGCTTGGATTGCTGTGATGGTGTGAGCATAGATTAGGGTCCAAGAAAAGAAAGGCATTTGTTATACTTCACGACGATTGCTTTCGTATTGGGCTTAATCATAGCCGCCAAGTCTTCGACTTTCGGGATCCAGTCATTTTCTGCCTTCATCTTCCACAAGTCGACATCGACACCCTGAAATCTCGGCAAGATGTAAAGCTGCCCATATGTAGGATACTGGCAGATGAGATGGTCTCCCTTCCCGCAGATGGTGGTCAATACGAGATAATTGGCCATGATAGACCCTGGTGTGATGACGACATTGTCCTCTGTCAGTTTGACATTTTCGGACGAGTGTATCTCCGCCACGCGCTTCCGCAGTGCTGGTAAGCCTGTGGCAGTGCCATATGCAAGCTGGAAATCGAAGTCTACGGGACTTCGGCTAGAATCTGAAGAGAGCTTCTGTAGTTCGTTCAACGTAAGAGCGGTTGCATAAGATCCTGTATTGTTATGAGAACAAATTCCAAGAGGGAATCAGAGGAGATTAGCCTACCATGCAATTTGATCTCAGCTTTGGGCTAGAAAGACACGTGTTAGCGATAAACTGCATCCCAGTTAGGAATATGAGACGTACCGTAAATTCTTGCGCTGTAGGACTAATTAGCAGATGCTTAGGTTGATATGAGAGGATGAGAGGATCAAGGGTTGAACATTGTGAAAACCTACCCCATTTATCAATCTTGAATCCTGGAATGTCACGCATATTGGGATAGAGTCGTCAAAAACTTGTTCCTGTACGGACTGTCTGGATTGGCTTCGAGTAACAATAGTCAGCATTTGTTTAGCAAGCTCTAAACGTCGACGAACATAGAGTATCACAATGATGCCGACGAGAATCTAGATCGTAAGAGAAAGGATCAATTACCTTCAGGGAGGAGGATAATCTGTAAGATTGCAAAATGACCTTCGAGCCCGGAAGATGGTATTTCTCAACTTTAATACCGAGAGGTGTGATTGAGTCATCGTAGAGTAGTGTGCCGACATGCATCAGGGGTTGGAGGATTTTGTGGGGCAGCACACCTGCATGCACTTGACAACATCCACAAATCGGGCCAAGCACTTCTGTAGATCGCTTGATCGCGTATCTTAGATCTTTACGAGGAACCAAGAATGGGAAATTTTGAGCCAAATACTGCCGTAACTTGTCCCATCGGTCTTAGAATAGGAAATCACAAAGACTGGCCTCATTTGCTGCCCCGTCATGTTTTCAATTGTAATATTTTCGTACACGCATCGAGCCTGATGATGCTTCGTTCTCAGATGGCTAGCTTACACGCTATGGACGATCTCAATCCCCTCAATTGGATTTATCATCGTTTTATAGCGAATCGCTTTTTAGTGCATCCGCAGACTTTCATATTCATTTCTTCTCTCGCTGCAAGACAGGTGGTTAATGGCTACTTAGAAGGTGAGGGAGGAAAAGCGGATACTAACCGCCTTGTTCATGTTCACATCAGGAGTTTTAACGTCACTGCTTGTCATATGCTTCTGCTCCTGCTGGCCACCGGCCTTGGTCGGCACTTGTACCCGCTTGCTTTCTGCCTTCTCGGGCTCGTGAAATTCGGTGCCTGTAGATCCTTTTTCCGTTGCCGGAACATCCTTGACGGGAGGTTGAGGTATGCCCCTAGGCTTGCTAGATCCGCCTCTCGGTAAAAACCAGAGGGCGCCAGCAACAACGACTAGCGCGATTCCAGGTAGAAGTCTATAAACCCAAGATCAGTACATACCTTGTATAGATAAGGGTGGAGGCATACAGAGAGCTTCTGGGGGCAGCGGGATCTGGTTTATCGGCCCTTGAACTACCAAGTCTGTTACCTTCCTCCGGTCGGTCGGTAGCGTAGCCTCTTTTGTGATAAAATTGAGTACTGTGGCGGAAGGTGCGAGAGACACCCGCCAGAGGACACAAAATGGGCGGTCTAGTGAAGGGCGGCATGGTGCACTATTCTGATCTGCTATTAGAAGAGTTGGTTACCCGCAGGCAAAAGAGCTCAGGATCTGATAATAACGAAAATCGTGAAGGATTTTAGGGATGGAAGTCAAAGGAAGGATATGAAATTAGCGGCGATGATTCGAATCAAGAGCCAGGTGTACGGCGAACCGGAGCTAACATCCGCAATCATGATGACATAGTGATGACACAACTGGAAGGAACCACCTCCCCAAAAGAGAGGGAAAGCACGGACAAATTATTTGAGCCGCAACATCGTTCATATTACGACTCTAGCGTCCGACCATGTAAATCTACTTTGGTTGTCGAAGATTTCAATCGTGCAAATCATTTACAGCCCATTGGCTGATATTCTGCGGCAGGTCCCAAGCAGCCCACATGTCTGTTTATCGATTTGAGTGCGGTGATATCAACTTTGGATTCCGCATTTCCATTCATGAAACGAGAGTAAGGTAGTTCAAAGGCTACGCCATTTAAACTTAGTCACGAGATTGGGCGTGAAAATGGATGGTGCCGCTTGTTTTCATGCAGTCATGCACCGCGACGTATCAATAGATTCGACCATGGAAGAGCAAGAATAAAGAGACAGAATATTCGAAAGTTCCAATATTTCATATGTTCTCCGAACTGTTATAGTCTGTTGTTGTAATATCATGCCTGGCTATGGACCCAAATTGTGGTACAGTTCAACTAACATCCTCTGACAACCCAGCAGACTCCACAATCAAAATACTCCATGTTTTCGCATGTGCATAACGAGATCATAACTCAGTGAAAGGCCCTCGATGACACTTTGGTTCTCCGGTTTGTCTAGCAGGCCAGGGTGCTCATAGACAATGGCTGTGATAACATCCTTGATCTTCCTGTCTCCATCTGGCGAAGTATAGACCTCCTTAGCAGCTTGGAGAAAGTCATATGACGCCCATTCCTTTTCCGCGTCGGCCTTGAATCTCTCAAGCGCAAGCACCTGCAATGGTTCGATCCCATATTTCCTTGACAATGCATACACCCTGGCATGGAGAACGAGGTCGGTCTCCGCAGAAGGGGTATCTAGCTGCTCTTCCTCTATGGCATCCTCTACCATATCACTCCACCGACGGGATGTTTCTGGCTTGGCAGGTGGTTCTTGTACCGCTGGTGCTGGCCCATCGGGCTCACCGGATACCAGTGCCTCTGGATCAACTTGAGGCTGTGCGATGGACTTCTTTCGCTTCTTCTTCTTGTTCTTCGCCTTGACGGGGGATATGGGGAGAAAGTCGTCAAATGAGTCAAGAGAAGCAGGTTCTGCGGTTGGTGTTGAAGAGGCGATATCTACAGCCGCGTCTCCGGAGTCACTGACTGCGTTGCCGTGGATGCTCACCCCATTGGTAGCTTCTTCCCTAAGATGATTGCCGTTGGTATGGCCGTTGAGTTGAGATATCGCGTCCTCTTTATCAGTGTAGTAGTCGAGGTAGTAGAAGAAGCGGACAATCATCTCAATAGCTCGCGGGTCATCTTCTTTAAGCGATAACACACCATCCTAAGTCGCAATTAACGTCAAAACCTGACTTAAGCTCTCTGTGTAGTCAAGAATCCGAAGCCTACCTGTGCAGATCCATTTCGACATTCTTTGGCAAAATATTCCGACCGTGGGCACACGAGTACCTTATGTACCTGGTATGTCGTGGAACGGCTTTCGATCTTGAGGTCAGAGTATTCAGGATCAATGTAAACTCTGGCAAAATGTCAATTGTTATCATGTTCAGTATCCAGCCTGAAACGTACTTCTTCAAAGAGCTCACCAGCTCACCCTGTGCTTGGTCCGCCATCTTCAATTACTGGCGTGCTGCCAGTACTGATTCAGTCGGGGCGGCCGAAGCACATGCGTCAAAGAAACTCTGCTCGTAAAGGGAAAGGTTGCGTGGACCACGAGATGGAGGGTACCCAAGGCATTTAACTACTGGTCCTTGGAATCAAGTTGCTCCTTCTGGGTCGGACATGTACCGGGGCTCATTAAAAGAGTATGTGCAACCTCAAATTGAGGCCCAACTATGTCAATCCACATATCACTTTGATGCACAGCTCTGTTCACACCGCCCTCGCCGTGTCGACTCATTGAGGCTCTGCGTGGATCTCATTGCTTTCGAACCCAATTGAGTCTGACTGAATATATTGTCCGTAGTATTTTCAGACATGATTGCAGGCTTAGCTCGGAAGCACAACATTCAGACAGCCTTGCCCAGACACTCACCTTGGCTCCTATTCGATGGCGGTGCCGGTGAGGATGGTGAATTGATGCCTTATGGTTGCCCCGGAATGCAGTCTACCCAGCCCATTGGACATGGCCCAATGCATTGAAACGTTGGCAGGAAGATAGCCAGTCGACTGCAAGCCTCAGATCTGCACGAGTGCGATGGCACTGTGGTTGGTTGTTTAATGCGGGGACAAGCGCCTACAATTATGAGTGGTGAGTAGGGAGATCATGGAAAGAGGTGAAAATCCGCCGGCTTTCATACTCCTGTCTTCGCAAGCATCTGCTTCTGACCTGCTTTGATCCCGCTGTTGTTAGTGATAGCGGAATATTTTCAGCATTTGGAGGTCACTTCATTGTCATCAGTTCGGAGATTCAGGTTGACATTGTCCGACATTGAAACATGTCTAAGTCGAGTAAGGGACGAGCCTCGCGAGTTATTTCAATGCGTAACGACCTTGTCGAACACCTGTAGCCTACAGCAGCAGTCGGCTCCCTTGCTTGCATTACATCAACTTGATACATAATTTCATTGACAACTGGCCGCAACTGTGATTTGCAGTGGCATGTGCTCTAAGTTACTGTTCGACTCTGCGCCACATGGCCAAGTATCCCTTCTGTAATTACGCTTTCGTACTGTATGAACCCTTGTAGCACTTTTCCCACCCTCTTTCCAATTGTACAAATCATTTGTAAAGATTTTCATCTCGCAACACACAAACTACAACATTTATGTATAAGAACCTCCCATTTAGCCTTGTAATCATTTAGCTGGGGGACAATCCCCTTGGAAAATGAGCCGCTCGATTGTTGATGGAGCTTCCGTGAGAAACCTCGTCATTGCTGGTGGCATTCCTGGGACTGTGGCTTTGACCTTGGCCATTGTATTACTGGCCAATATTGGTCAGCGTTTCTCCCACTGGATGCGCCATACCATAGAAGACAACGCTTACCTTGAGACTGACGAGCAACATGAGCCACACTTAGGCGCCAGAGAAGTAGTCGAAGGCTTCGTCGGCATGGTGATTACACTTGCGAAGAAGCAATTGAATTTCTCGAATACTAATCTTTTACTCTGCTTCTCTAGAATTGGTTCTTGTTGTTAATATATTCTACACTGGAGGCTCCCTCCTGGAAGGAAATCTGCTCTTTATAATGCACCATTTCTCAATTATGGGTTCTTCCTTGCAATCCCTTGAAGGCCGTAGATGGATATGCGAGGATGCATTGCGAGATTGCTGAGTATGTTCGTTTTGCTGTGCTCGCACATTCTTTGTTAACGTCACTGGAGATTTGCGGCATGGCATTCTGCGAATGAGTTTTGCGAGCCGCACAAAACTTACCCCCGCAGAACGCCAGTGTCACAGGTTCGTCAACCCTGGTTTCAGGCGCTTCAGGGGCGTTCAGTAGTTGGACGGCAAGTGGTTCGCGCACCGCAGCTGTGTTGTTGCCTTGTCTCTGAAGGCAAGCTGACCAAGGGCAATCCTGCGATTAGCCGTCGCGTTCACGCTGCTGCACGCTTTCTTCTTTTGCTCTATCACCTGCATGCAGAATGAAGAACACAAGTGCGACGTCAACGCCTAGACAAGTCGGACTCACTGGGTGGAAATGACTGAGACATGGGCCATATACTCCTCGAAGCGGCCCAAACAGGCGCAGGCCGCGCACGCAGACCAATTTGACCTGAAAGACTCAAGTGTACAGCGCGAAAGGTCGATCCGGTCTTTGGGTAATAGCCTTAAGGAAGGCGGCAAGCGTTGCTTCAACCATGCATTTCGGCCCTCCAAGAGGTCTTTCCCAGGCACCGGAGAATGCACTGTCCACAATGAACATCAGTCAGACTCAACTTTACATTCGAACTCCCTTCCCTTCAAATCGACAAGTCCTTCCTCGAGCCTTGCTGTACCAAACGAGAATAATCAAGTCAAAGAAGATATTATGATGCCCATACACTTGAAGACAAGAGGCTTGGCAACACAGATGATGCGAACATCAGTTCATGTCAGCCAAGGGACATCGCAAGGCCGCTTCTTATCCTTATGCCGCAGCCTAGTGGAACCAATAACAGACACGGGCAAAACGAATCGTCCTATGAAGGCTGACAAGCTATTTCCGCAAAGACAAAAGAAATTCAATGAGACGAAGGGAGATGTAGCACCTATGAAGCTTACTTTACCGACCTTTGGGCCGGTGTTAACCCCAAATCATGAGGCTCAAGTAGGAGTAGGGAGTCGCTTTGGTCGGCAAAACACTACCACTAATACGGATGCATCTCCTTTGCCAGCCAGTGAAAGTGGCACATCATGTGGGAAACCACACCCCATTTTCTATTCAAGTGAACTTGCTTACTCTAGGTAGGGCTAATCCCTAATGTTGCGAATATTCCACATGAGCTGCAAGAGGCGGCAACCGAGAAGCGTGTAAGTCAAAAAGACTTCTGAAAACTGTGGATATGGGAAGGGGACCAATACTAATAGAATCCTAATAGAGTGACACTATGAAAAGCATAAGCGATCTAGCTAAGAGGACATACAAAGCGACCATAGCTCGCGATCGTGCAGCGATATTTTCGACGGATGACCCTTCGGAATCGGACCTTGCCTCTCGCAGGTTTTCCAACGACACTTTCCATGCGCCTAGCACAGTTGTAGACTCTGTGTTTTCTCGACGATCTTCGATTGGGTCTTCCGCAACCAGCCTCTTCAGCTTGACTGGGAGATCTTATTCCAGTCATGCCCGTGATGGATCGTCTTTGAAGAAATATGCCTCATCGTCGTCCTTACGCGCAAGCCTGGGCTCCCCTGGGCCGAATCAAGACGCAATCCCGTCAAATCGCCGGCTTCCGCCACTTCCACTGCCACATCAAGGGGGTAACACACCCTCTCCACGCCCCAACAGCACTTGGCCCATTTCCCCAGATGTCGATGTCTCACTCAAAGACCGAGTGACTCTTGCTGGTATAATAGCCCAGCAACGTCGCATTAATAAGGGTCGACTTCCAGAAACAATTCAGGAAGAACGACGTAGTAGGGAGATCGAGCACCCTAAATCTAACCTGAAATTTGCTGCTGATGTTTATATCGAAATTGACGCTGATGTCCGTCGAACCCTTGACACTAGTCTTCGGGAAACCGTAGAAGAAATAGAGGACCACATTGAAACTAACGGTCATGATTCTGGGGACAACTCTATAAAGAGACCGATGCTGGTGCCGACGACTCTCTCAAGCCAAGCCAGCAGATCTTGCTCAGCAGGAACAGAGACTAATACAGATAGATCCTCTTTTTCATCGAGAGAAGTCAGGCAAGACAATTCAACTCCTGGGACATCAATCGCAGAGGATCTAGAGATGGATGCTCTCGAGTCCGACATGAGTGAAGCTAACGAATCGATGTCTGACGTTACAGATGAGACAGACGATTCTTTTTATGAAGCATTTGCGACAACTTCACTAGACATGAATCTTTTCCCCTCAGCTTTAGCGTTGAAGGACCACGTTGTAACTCTTGCGTCCTCTCGAGTCTTGGACTGGGTGAGATCATGTCCATCAGGCGAAGGCTCTGGCGGCGCGTCATCCAGCCCTGACAGCCCTTCTGCTGATTCGACTAATGGAAAAGACCAAAGCTCAAGTGGCCGTGATTTTGGAGGAAAGAAGCGAGAATTCAATGGAGATGGCAGGAAAGGCTTCGACAGGGAGAACGGAGACGACCAGGACAAGCGCCGGAGAGTGAATTCGGTCTCGACCGGCAATGGTACAACGAGACTGTCGCCCAAGTTTGCATGCCCATTTATTAAACAAGACCCTAATAAGAAATGGCCACGTTGTCAGCAAGGCTGGCCAACTGTCCACCGTATTAAGTATGTCTGGCATTCTGTTGCTCAATGTCCTCTTCCTTCTCTTTTGGATACTAACGGCAACAGAGAGCATATATACAAACATCATAGGCTTCCCATTCACTGTGATAGATGTTTCAACATTTTCAAATCCGAGCATGCACTGAAGCAGCATAATCGAAAAGATCCTCGTTGCGAAGTTATCGACCCGCCGCGCACATTGATCGGCTTAGATCGAGATACCATTGAAACAGGGCAGCAGTG